CATATTAAGTATTCTGAGGACTCTTGATTGAATGCTTGCCATGCTACATGCTGTAATCAGTCATAAGGCTACTTAAGATTCCATATCACTTGAATACTCCATGCACTTGTACTTCAGTGTATTCAACACCGGCTGAGAGAATGTCAATACAACCAGAATTGTTTTAAAGTACAGAACAAAAACTTTTGCAAGTCTTTTTTCTCAAATGCCCGTGTTGCAAATTCTTGCTCAAAAAGTACTTTTCCCTTTTCCTTGAAGGTATTTCTGTCATCAAAACTTTTTTTCGACAACATCTGCCAATTATATTTCTGTCACCCAACAACTCAAATTGAAGTTAGCCTTTATGTGAACATTTAATAAAATAGACCTGAAACTTTTTAGGACAATTTATAATATCATATGACTCATACCTCCCTTTAATTTAATTAAAACATTAAAAAAAAAAACCCTTATGAGGATGGGAAAAAGCTTTGTGGCCCTGCATGGTGCTAGCTGAAAGGAGAAAGGGATGGTTATAAATACATAAAATTGGTTTTAATGTAATAAGCAAAGCCTAAGGTCTGGATTAAGAGCCTACAACAAATAATAATAAAAAAATCAACCATACTTGAACACAGTTGAATGCTGATCCTTTCTTGGTTCCTGAGGAGGTTTGATGGAGGCCATGATTCTTCTTGCATAATCAGTGTGATGGATGCCAGCTTCTCTCAGAGCATTTTCAACCTTTAATCTTCTGTCTGCCGCCACCTAAAAGCAGCAACAAAGTTTCATGATTCCAGCTTCGACTGGCAATGAAACTTTCCATCTGGGATTGTTCTTTCAGGGTTATGTATCATAACTGAATTGGTTTATCACAGTGACTGACTAAATTTGTGGCAGATAAAGATAACAATGACATATTGAGTGCATTTAACCTTTTTTTCATCATATCCATGGACAGTAAAGAGAGGTTGTTGAAGGTCAAGTTCTTCCTCGTACATACTGGCCATACGTGCTTGGGATGCCTGGAAAATGGAAGAAACTAACATTGGTTCTAAGTACTGGCTTTTTTATTTTGTTGAAGTGACCCCTGTGGATGTTTTTGGGTCTGGATACAGGTTATGTGGTGTCTAGCTTTGATTCATGCAAACAAAGAGGGCTGAAAAGAATGAAAGATGATGGAGATTGGCACCTCGGGTAAGTTGTTGCTCCTAGGTGTTCAACCGATAACAAGAAATTAACAGGAGTTACAAGTTTCACATAAAGTAGTGTAATGGGGAAATGTTTGCTTCAAAAGTACTGGCTTTATTCTGCTAAATCTTGCTACCAGAAGAAACAGCTATGACCATGGTTGTTAAATGCAATGACAGAGTTAGAAATGGATAACACACTGACAAAAACCACTTTAAGTTACAACCCAAAGTACACATCAAATATTTGCATTGTTACATAATCTAACATTCACACATAGGACTCAGAATTGTTCTTTCTGACAAATTATTCACCTTTTCTTTTCTTTCCGACATGATTCATGCCTCTGGTAACCTTTTTTTCACCACTTACCTCTGTTTGTTTGTATAATCTCTCTGGATCGTCCTCTACATGAACTTGTACCTTAAGAAAAAAATTAAAGATGACTTTTTACAATAATGGGAAATCTGTTTACTAAAAGATAATGTGAAGTCAAAAAAATGAAGTAAATAAAATTTGCCTTGTTCCAAACATGTGCTTTTGTAGCACAGAGGGAAGTAAGGCTCTACCCATATCTGAGGAGGGCACAGGCTCTAGCCTTGACAAAGCCTAAATTTTTTCAACTTCTGTTTTTTACAATTTCTTCAGTTTCACTTCACTTGTGAGGACCATTTTTTCATTTTCATTCTAAAGTCACTGAATGAAACAACAGCACTACCACATGCCTGTGCTCTAAGTTTGTCCAGACGTTGTTGTTTTTCATATTCTTGTTCAATAGCCAACTCTCTGGCTTTTTGCTTTTCTTCTTCCTGCAGTTTTAACTGCTCCTTGCGATACTGTACTCTGGAAAGACATTAAGTCAGTCAGTGATAGGAATGTTCATTGTACACTTCTCTTGACCTTGTCTACAGGCTAACATATGTTACTGGCTAATCTTTTACCAACCAATTCCTAAAAGTACAAGAACTTAAAATTACAAGAAAGTTTTCAGAGGTGAAGATCTCAACATAAGTTGTACATAAAAAGAAAAATGGCTGCTAATTGAAGTAAATTGTGTTCATATGCTTAACCCTTTCACTCCCATAAGTGACCAAGACAGAATTTCTCCTTACAATATCAATACAATATCAAGCAGGCAGGTGATGAGAATAGAGAAGAATGTCAACCATGGGATTATTAGTTGATCCAATACCAAATTCTCTGAACTAACATCATAAGAATTGTATGGCAGATAGTAAGGAGAATTACTAATTAGATCTTGGGAGTGAAAGGCTTAAGTAAGCTAATGTAGGTGAGCTTTAGAAGACCAAATTTTTGTCAAGGACTGCAACTGCTAACCAGCTAATTCATAAGTATCAAACACTGGTAGATTTGAAGTTAAAAATGATTTAAATCATCATCATTTCTAAAAATATACAACAATAGAAACTGTACCTTTCTCTATCCCATGCAGCTTGCTCCGCCATTTTTTCTTGAAGCTCAGCCAGTCTTTTTCTTTCCTCTTGGGCTGAAAGCTCTCTTTCTCTCTCTTTCAAATCTTTAAATTCCTGGATCTGCAAGAAAGTTTTTGCTACATCATACAAGAAGTTTCCATCCAACAAAAATACTAAAATGATTACACATACATCTTGATTTACTTCACAACCTACTTCAAGGGGTGATTGTCGGTCACTGTCAAACAAACACGAGACTCACCAATAATTTTAGCTGGAATTGGGCATGGATTTCTTTGCATTTTGCAAAAGAGGGCTATTGGTAAAAAGCAGGTACCGCTGAGTATTAAGTAGCTGCCATATTTTGCAATACCTGAGGTAGCCTTAGCTTAAAAATCCTAACAATTTTACTGTTTGCTCAAGCGTGTTTGTCCATGGGGTATATACATATCTTATTAGATGTTTTGGTGTGTAGTATTGCTGAGCATTTTTACAAGTTGTGCCATATTTTGACAAGCCTGTAAGGCAGGTAAAAATATGACAACATGTAAAAATACACAGTGATACTATACACCAAAACATCTAATAAAACAATTATCATCCAACTGCTTTTTTTCTGCAAAGTCTTTCTGCTCATTTCTCACAAGGTGGAAAAAGCAAAGCAGATAGAGGAGCGTAGCATGCGCAGCCGACTGGTTAAACAGGATTTTTTTACAATACAAAATAACCAACTGTCCAAATAAAAATACAATATTGCAGGATATTTGTATGTTATTTCTACTCTATTAAGTGCAGTTAGATAATAAAATTATATACAAGTAGGTGATGCAAGAATTAATCTGTTAATTGAAAAAATAATATTTATTCAATATCTCTAAATCAGCTTCATCATACCTGCCTATGTTTTTTATCTCTGAGCTTTCTTTCCCTCTCTTCAGCAGCCCTTAGTTGTTCTTCCTCTTCCTCCTGCTGTTTTGCAGCAATAGCAGCTTGCAGCTTTAGTGCCTCAAGCTTCTGTTCACGGAATGCAAGTACCTGTTGGAGGTTGAACACAAAAGTTAGAAGTATTGGTAATAAAGACTGAATTGTACCTGTGAGCCTAGAGTCTTTCTACATGCATCACTCCCCAAGACCACATGGCCAGATTGTTCTGCAGTATTTCTACACTAAATTCAAATGAAATTCCAAAGAACTACCCAGGACCAACCTTCTTATAGAGTTCTTGACAGATGTGTTCCTGTTTCTTTCTTGTTTTGGCTTTCCCTGTGGCTTCCTCATAAGCTGTCCATGCATCAATAAATGTTACCTTAACTTTTATGAGTAAATCTTGTCTATCATGCGCCCAGGCACGAAGTGTGCTGGAAAACTGCTCTTGGTAAAATTTGTGTGCAACAAACCATTCTTCATGTTCAACCTAAAACATAAAGTAACTTAAAAATTGACCTATTTCAGAATTGTGACTGAGTATCAAAAACATGTATTGAATTTATCATCAATACCAAAATTTGATGGAAATGCTGTCATCTAGTAAAAAAAGAAAACCTCTTAGTACCAGCTGTGAGCGAGTCTTGTGTGAGATTTCCCTAAGCATCCTGTCAATATAGAGCAGTCTTCTGTTTGGCATCTCAGGTGGGTACTGTTCCATTAGATGGACAAAGTGCAAATGATCATGCTTTGACCATCCTCCAGTGCTAAATCTGAAAGAGTAATAATTACACTGTCCTTAAATATCAATGCATCTCTTAATTCCTATCTTTTTAATTATAATAATTAATAATGACATGTAGGTCAAGGAATTCCCGACTAAGGTTAATTGACATGTTTTTGCAGGTACCTCTCTCCATGCAGGAGTATTGTAAATATGTTATCAGAGAGCTGTCATGAAACCTAGTGAATACTGATGAGTGACCTACAAAGGCCTTACCAGTGCACCCAAGAGGAGAAACAGTACTCCTTGTCTCTCTATCAAAATGGGACAAGCTTTGTGAATTTGTTGAGACACTACCTCTTATAGACCAATATTAAAGTTCTGAATGGAATCATTTTGTTGACCGGTGATCCAGGAAACTAAGAAAAGGTAATCTCCAGGGCAAAACGAGCTATTGAATATCATATACAAAATACTTGAAGAATTGCTGTGTTGTGTTCTTTAAGAATTATAAGCTAATCTAGCTCTGAATCACAGCAGGAGGGCAGTTTAAAGGTCTGATAGAAGATCCAGGAAAAGAAAAGGTGGCCCTTAGGTGAAGTAGCATTTCTGGTAAAAGTAATTTTACATGTAAATGCTAGTTAATATGAAACAAATTCAGGGACCAACTCTACAATCAAGACACTGGTCAGAATCAAGAAGATTTCCAAATAAGACTTTCATTCCACAAGTGATAAGGAGGGAGGAGGTGTGTGAAAATTGCCCTTAATTCAAGGATTTATGATACTTACTGTTTGACATTTTGATATTTCAGATTTAAGTACTCCAACTGAGCTTCATATTTCTTATCCAGAAGAAGGAACTCTTCCAAAACAGTATCCTTTAACTGTTCATCAGGACAGTCCAAATAAAATGCCTCATCAGGGATGCCTGTCTCTATACCAACATCAGACACCACTCCCAATCCTGTAATTTCATGCAATGATAAACTCTCCAGTTCTTGTTCAAGCTGTTCTTGTTCCATTTGAAGTTTGTCTATCACTATGCGCTGCTGCATTTTGACTGATTCCACAATGTTGAGCACATCTGCGTGTTCTTTGTCAGCAACTCCTAGAAAGATTATCAAAAGCAGTATTAGAGATTAGGGTATCTGGGCAAGCTCAGCTTATTAAGTGTTTCTTTGCCACATGTTGGCAGCATCATCCTTCCTGAAAGAAATTATTACTCAGGGTTTAGCCATACCAATTTTAAAAGGCCAAACCTTTCATCTGCCAAATAAATTAATTAATTCACAATTTCCTACTGAGTGCCTATTTCATGTTGACCTTGAAGAGAGAACAAAATTTACATAATAAACCTGAAAGATAAATGAAACACTGAGCACAACTTCCAGGATTTTATTGATAATTCTCCTATCTTGCTGCTACAGATTTCCTTGTAAATTAGTTACCAGTATTTGGTGTTAGATCAAGATAAAAACTACTACCTGATAAGTTTGAATATCCTCATTACCTGTTTACTGGATAATGTCAGGATATTACTGGGAGTTAAAGGGTTAAAACATGACCATGTCAATAGAACTTGCAAATTCTAAAAAATTGATTAAATAATTAAGAAATTAAAGGTTCTGACTGACCCATCACAATTCTGTCTCTGTTCTCTCCAAGCCAGAACTGCAAGTCTTCTCTTAAATCCCATAATGGTTGAATAGTGCTTTTCTTAAACTCAGTGCTGTCTTCACTAAGCACTTCCTCATAGATTTCCAGATCTTGAAAGAACTCCTTAATTGAGCTGTAATCAAGAGGACTTCCAGGTCTCAATGCATCAATTTCACTTTGTAGTTTTCGCTGTAAACTATGAAGTCTTATTTTTTCTTTTGACCAACAGGCTTTGTGCTGCTGAATAAGATTCTGTTCCTTTTTCTCTTTGTTAGCTCTGGATATCTTTTCTACTTTTTGAAAGGTTTTGTTTCCAGCAGCTTTCCTGAGCTGAGCGATGGCTTGAAGTTTGTCATAATCAGCTGGTCTATACTGATTACTACCATGTCCTTCTATAAAGCGGTTAACAAGTGAACTATCTGCAAAATGAGTAAAAATACCTGACTTCATATTTGAATACTTAGAAGAAAATTATCTTATCTCAGAACTTCAAGATTCGGCTTGTTACTCAGATAACATAACACATGTTAAGGTTCTTTGCATCTTAATATGACACCTGTGCCATTTCGAAAACACTAAAAAAAATAACATTTCACAATTGTCAAATAAGTCAGTCAGTAAGTAAGCTTAAGTAGGTAAGTAAATAAAAATATTTATCGGGGGCTCATAATTGTTTACAAAATACTAATAAAACAGTGACCTTTACACAAATAAATATATTAAAATCAAAGCATACATTACAAAATTAAAAATATCCTTCAAACAATGAAATCATAAAATCAACGTAAATATGCAGAGTGAAATAATTTAATTTAAAAGTTGCTGCTGATCTTTGGAAATCCTTTACCAATTTTGTTATTTGATCCCTACCTGCGGCCCCGATGGCAGTTCTGTGGAAGTTCACAAACTTCCTAAGATCCCGTCCACTCATTAAAGTAAAAGTTAGGGTCCTACATGATTAAATTTCTTGAAAAATCGCTCAGTGACAACCGTCTCCACTGTCAACAACATTTCTACGCGGGCGCCATTTTGAAACTCCAAATTGACCTCGTTTTCATTCTAACAAACCACCGACTTGCGTCTCGTTTTCATACTATCCAAGATGGCGTCAAGTAGGCCTTCGAGCAGAAGTAAAAAACCAAAGCGTCCATCGAGCCCTGCCGTGGCTGCCGCTCCTCCAAGCAAGCGAAAAAGACCTTTAACTGTAAGTTAATCTATTTTTAAAACATTGAAATTCAGTTTTCTGATGTTTTCTTTTGTTTTAGCCCTGTGTAGCTGACGAGTTAGATTCAACATCAAGTAGTCCGTCATCATATAGTGCTGTCAGCGAGGCCAGTACTCAGCCAAACGGCCACTTTGTGTTCAAAGATTCTAATTTCGAAGTAAGTTTGGTAACTATACTATAAATTTTTTTGTAGTAAAAATAAGCGGTAATTTGTGTCTTCTCAAAGATGTATATGATTAAAACATATGATAAATTTTGTTCATACTTCAGCATTCTGGTGTCAATGCAGGCAAGAAAAGAATATGGAAAAATTTAAAACAAATAATGACGTTAGAAAGGGGACTGCCATGGAAACAAGATGATCCAACATGTAAGTAGCCCAGCTTATAGTTATCATTTATTTTATCTCTCAGTCAGTTTATGCGCCATGATTGGTCAACTTAGCCAGCCGTATTTCACAATTTGGCCCACAAATTTTTTTATTTTTTTAATTGAAATCTTTCCTCCTCTTCCATTTGAACTCAAAGATACAATAAATATTTTACTAACCTTATTTTCTTGGTCCATACCGTACGTTACAGAACTTTTCAGTCCAAACTATTTTACCTTAGGACCAGCAACAAATGATCTTCTAAGGAAAATAGGTATTAAAAATAAGTACATGTGCACCTTTTGGGAAGCTGAATTAGAGAACCTAACTCACCTGTTTTTATTTTGTACCATTTGGCAAAAGTTTAAGTAATGGTTGATAAATGACAAACACTTTGCAACACTACAGGATACAGACCTTATCAGAACTTATCCTTCATAATTGGTTTGAGACCTAATGCTTTCAAAAACAAAAAAATCCATCTCTATTTTTAGTTGAGAGATATTTGATCCAAATTTGTTGAATAGGAGATTGAGTCCCCAGTTCAGTGTTTTCTCTTCCTTGATAACCTCATTTTCACTGTCTCACAAATTGTCTCTTGAGCCTCTTTCCTCTGGCATTTTATGTTAAAACAGCCTACAGTAGGTTAAAGCAAAAAGCCATGTAGTTGTATCCTCTTAATATTTTTTTCTCTTAAGTGATGTCCATATAGTATTGTCTGTAATTTAAATGTATCACAAAATAATAGTAATTATAATAATAATAATGAAAAATGGAAGTTACAAATTCTCAGTTTTTTTACCTGGATTTATGGTCCCTCACACATTGTGTTGAAGGGCTCTAACTCTGAGCAGAAAAAAACTTGGTCCATAAGTTACAGTGCAGACCTCAAACTCAGTTAGTAAATGGTATCTCCTGAGCCTTAAGGTACACCAAGGGTTAAGCTGGATAGAATGTTAGGTATGACTTGGTTTTTCAGTAGTAATCTCATTTTGTATCTCCAGACAGCAGCATAGATGCCCCACCTTCATTCAAACCAGCCAAAAAATATGCTGACCTCTCTGGCTTACCGGTAAGTGGTATTTGAATGACATTCCCATTTTTAAGTATTTATTTGTAAATAGTCTTGATAGTTCACTGGCTCCTTGTCATCGCGTCTGAACAAGTCAGATGCAAGAGATGATGAACTGTCAGATTTTATTGACTTGAGTGAAAAGGAATCAGTGTAAAATTGTTTTTTGGCAGAGAAATACAATGTAGTTTTACACTGACAGAGTCTGATTGTGTGTTCTGTTTATGTTTTTCGTCATTTATGAAATTTAGGTTTAATTTAGCTAATCCAGCCTCTGACCTTGTGTTATGATCTGTTTTAGTTTTTTTCTTCTGGATTGTTATTTTTTGTGTAAATTAGGAACAAACTTTTTGGCAGATCAAGGTGACTGACTGTCCTGCAGGGAACTAGTTTTTGTTAACTATCCTCTTTAAGCACTAGAGCATTAACAAGGAGAAGAAACAATTATTTCAACTTAAACAGTTTTGCAGGTAGTTGTACAGAGTTGTACTTTTTCACATTTTGAATTCCTCACCGAAGGTGTTCAATTTTTTGGGATGTCCTAGTGTGTACATTATGTGTGGGGATTGTGACCAGTCTGCAAAGATCAGAGCTACAAAAATGTTAGGCTGCAAGGCATTTAAGATTTTTGTCAAGGATAAAAAATCAAATTCTTGTCCTTTTCAGGCTAAATACAAAGACCCGAGAACTGGAATACAATACAACAACTCCATGGAATTTGGTTCAATTCGTAGTTTACCTATGGATATTGTCAGCGGGTATCTGACCTTGCGGAAAGCGGCACCTACATGAATTAAGTTAATTGTATATGGAATTTTGGATGTTAATTTAATCATGTAAATAGTTGAAATAAAAAAAGAACTCAAGTTATTTCTGTGAAATAGTGTGTCTTTCCTTGAGTTGGTTTTTGATTTTGATACATAAAAAACAAAGTGCTGAGTTTCAAGAAATTTTATTCAGCTTTCTTTCAAGCCCCATTTCCCTTCACCCTTTCGTCATCCCTCTTCAAGGATGCAATGATGTCACATCACCTGTCACGCAATCCCGCGATAAACCTGGTAACAACATGGCAGGCGATGAGCACCATGTAAACAAAGGCAAATTTTACCTGCGAGGTGAAGGTATGAACGATAAGTCGAGGGAACTTTACGAAAGAAACGCTTTGGGGAACATTGTCTCGCACCTATTTCCGGGGTATGGAGAGTTCTATGCGGTTCCGTGGACAGCCAAAAAAGAGATTTTCGAACTTTTGTCAGTGTTCGTCAAAAATGGTTGTGATACTTTCGAATACGTTGGAAGTTTACGTAAGAATGGGGGAATCTTGGCGGAAGAGACGAGCGACTTATTGCATGTTTTGAAGCCTCATATGCACAGTAGCTCAAAGAAAGAAGTAAACAGATATTTAACTGCGCTAAAGCAACCATTTTCGCGCCGTGTGAGTGAGCTTTTTATTGATGACTTTGTTGGCCGTCCAGAGGGAAAGATTTTTGGCTGGATCGATTTAGGGACAACGCAGATTGAGTACGTGGACCCTGTTAAGCTTACTGCAAGAGTGAACAAGTCGAGAATTGATCAAGAGTGTTCGCAGCTTGCGGGGAAAACACACATATACGTAATTTGTAAGGTGGGGATAGCCATTGACTTACAGTGATTTTCCAGCTAATATTTTCTCATATGATATCTTCCGAATTATTAGCTCCATATGTTGGTGGTCTTTCCTAGGGGGCTCTGTATACTCTCCTAACCTTAAGATAAATAATAAAAAATATCCAATCCTGTGGTGTTGTTATATACAGTGTTGCCCTTAATAATAGTCAGAGGGATTCAAACCACGAGCAAACTTGAGTGGACCTACATGTGCCCGAGGCAAATGGTGGGTGTTAAATTAAACTGGCTCCCCAGGGTTTTTTTTTTTAAAGGAGAGGATGATTGCAATCGGTTCAGCAGGGTGCAGAATGTAATCTGAAATGAAGTATTTCGTGAAAAGGAAAGGATATGAAGTTTGGAATCTTCATGGTAATTGAGAAGAACAGCTCCTTGAAAAACCTGGTTGGCTGACAGTTGACCAACCTTCGGCTGACAGGTTATAATTACCAAGTGACAATATACTCGGATACCTATGGGCCAACAAGTTTACTTAAAATTGTCGGCCAACAAGTTTTTCAAGGGAGTTGTTCTTCACAATTACAGCCTTCTGGATGCACCCTTTGTGTTTTTTTAATCATTTTGTACATGCATTTATTAAGAACACCCTCATTATAGGAAAATTTTCCCCTTGGACAAACAAAACAAAGCAACTCTTTCTAAATATGCTTTTGTTTGGAGGTCTCTGTTCAAGATTTCCTAAAAGGCAAGATATTTTTTGGTTCTTTGTTATTATTAAATGTTAAGAGACTACTAACACATTTTAAACAACATACAAACAAAAAATTAGACTGATGTAAAATTTGTAAATGTATGGTTGCCTACCCTACCATTATGTAATCAGTGTGTAACCCAAATTAACATAAATACTACCATAACCGTTCTTCATTTCAACAGAATTTTTCACTTTGTTTGTAGGTATGTGACTCTGAAAGACTCCATTACTATCCAACTGTAGAATACAGATCAAATTCGTGGCTTGGTAATGATAAATCATTACTAGAAAACCAAATCAGACTTTGCACCAAGTCTTTGGATAGATGTTGTATTTCTCTGGATGTGAGAGGTCCAAGAGCATTAAGTGTCTGCCGCATCCCACTGACCTGTGGTGGGATACTTGGCATACCCATGTATGATGTCAAACTTACCTCAACGAACTGTTTTAGGACAGATTGGGAAGGAAAAACGTTTTTTGCTCAAGGTAAACTTGTTCATTGCTTACATTCTCAAAGGTGAAGGGCAGTCAAATGTAAATCAGGTTCTCATGCAGGCATTCTACTGCCCTAAATTGTGTCTACACAATTACCCATGAGACTGAGCTGTTTATCTGTTTGTGTTTGATACAATTTGGAAAAGCTGCAATTAGTGAGCAACATAATCTATAAACAGTGAAAAAGTGCCCTCTTAGCTCTTTCCTCCTGGCTAATATGATCAATTAGTTGGGATATGTGTTCCAATTAATTGAGGATACATCTACCTTAGTTTGTATGTTGTTACAAGATGTGATGTTTCACTGAGCTGATCTTTCCTGTATGACATACACAGTATCTTGTTTCACCATCTACAATTAGGGCTTTTGCCTCACTGATGATTGTTTTCAACTGTCCATCCTTATAGGATGTTGACTGACTGCTGTCAGATCTGGCAGAACTTCTAAAGACCCGTATGTGAGCTTAAGATTTGCTGCACTGGACACAGTGCAGGCAGATTATAACATTCTTAGGACTCTGTGGGATATCATAAACTGCAATACAGAAAACTTCATAGCCAGTGAACACCTGGTACTGAATACTGAGCATAAAAACCTGTGACAGCATTTGGTAATCATTTAATTTACTTTTAAAGTCACTGGTTTTTAATGAATCATTTGGTTTGTAGTGCTACTTTCTGTTTACATTTTACAGTCATACTGTGAGATTATTCTGGGAAACTTTACATTAATGAAACAGGGAACATATAACTAAAAAACTCATACACTTTCATGTGACACTTTAGAACTTGATTTTGAGTTTGTTAACTGGTTGACATCCCAAGTACAAGGCATGAGAACCAAACATTTCTGGCAGCCTGCACTGAGAAAGCTGTTTAGTTTTCCTGCGATAGATGATAGACAGGTGGCACTGGAGTTTTTGCTTGAAACCATGAAGAAATTTCAGGTAATCATTTATTATAATATTGTGTGTAGTATAGCTTGTAGAACAGGTGCTGGGATAGGTGGGTAAGATTGGGTCTCACTGACTTTCAGTGTTTATTGAGCAGGCTCTTAAACTTTTAACTATGAGGTAATGTGCACTAGTAGTGGAGAAGCTAACAACAGTCAGCAATGTCTCAAAATTAAAGCCTGGGCTTGGGTCATCATCAGCATAGTCATTTAAAAAGTTCTCTCCCCTTGTGAATGGATTTACTTCTTGAAATGGATTGGTCAAATCAGCTGTCAGTGACGTTTTTTTTTTTGAGACACTCAATATGCTGGCTTATTATGCTGGTTTAATACTTTGTCTTTTTGTGGTGAATACATAATTTGTGAGGTAAATAACTCATGCAAAAAGGTGTTTGGGTTATTTAATGTGGAGAGAATAAAGCAGCTTAAGTTGTGGACAGACTTTTTTGAACTGAATTTTGTCTTATGCATTTCTTTGCAGACAGAAGAGGAAGGTAACATCCAACTGGTTGATCTGTCCTTTGTGATTTCCAATCCCCCTCCATGTTTGATGTCCAGTCCATTTATCCTAGCCTCATTTCTGAGAGGGGCTGGTATTGTCTTGACTTCCTCTCAGGAGGCTGATGATGGTGAGAGATATGAAGAACAAGTAGTATTTCAACCAGAAAATTGCCAAAAGTATTTGGGAATTTTGGAAGCTCTTCTCACAGTGCTTGTGAAAGGTATGTCTTAGAACAGCTTCGGCCACTCATAATGTGTAGCAGTTGCAGTATTAAGTGAAGGGCTAAATTGATTTAGGTTAGCGGCCACTGACTCGGGTTTGCCAAGGTCTCCGCGTTTAAGGTAAATTCAACGGAGAAAAATTTTGCGGTTACATTCTAACAGGCGCGGGCCCGAGTTGAAAATCGTCCTAACTTTTGAAATAGGCTACAGAACAGCAGCCCTTTGAATTATTGCTAATTTCTTTCTGGCCACAGAATTGAGGAAGATGTTTTTTTTAAAACAGTTTGAAACTGCCATACGCACTTTGAAGTAAAACTGATTTTAACTCTCACTTAGGTGTTGTAACAGAAGAGCAGGGAAAATGCGTTTCCCAGCTTCTTGCCACAGAAGTAGTCTCTCTACAAGAACTGGTACGTGATTTTCATCCCAAGACCTCACCCAAAATAATCAGATATACAGTTTACGAAGCTTTCGATAATTTACAACTTCTAATACTCTGGCGCCATCGATTCAGTCAGTGTAGCGTTGTCTAGTCAAGAGTTTTTTTTGTATTTAACGGAAGCTTTCAGTTTTCAGACTTTCAGTCTCAGGCATCTTTTTTATGTGAAAATGAGTTTTGACAATATGTATTTTTATACAGAGACAACCACCTTAAAATAATTTTACATTGCTTTGCCAAAAGGAAACCCATTTTCATAATCTACGAAGCCGCGTGCGGAAAAAGGGGTGTGTATGGAGATAGTTTTTTGATTAATTGAACAACTGGAAAACCACTTGAAAGCTGTCGAATGTAACCAAATAGTTGTTATCAGTCAACTGAAAAAATAACTTTCTTCCAATTCTGTTTGTTTTTTTGTGTTTTAGTTTTACACGCAGATGGGCTGCATATGCTCGCCATGGAAAAGCCTAGACCCATGCGAAAAGCCTTTGTTGGAATTATGGAAAAATCCCTCAAGGACAAGAAATTTCCTGAAAAGCCTGGGACTTCAAGAGATTTACCAAGGAAACCAAGTGGTTGTTATCTGCCCCGAGGACTGCCAGTTACTGAACATTTTAGCGTTATTTTTCGGAAACATTGACTAAGAAATGATACCGCGCCGTGATAGGTTACAGTCTCTCTTTCCACATGTACTCGCTCAGTACTGAAGCATTTTACCGTTCACTGATTCCGATCGTCATTAAACTATGATTTGCGCTTCGCCCTGCGCTTGCAAGAAATCTGTTGCATATATTTCTTCTGCCAAGAGTTAGGTTCCGATCGCTCAATATTTATTATAGTAGTTGCACTAATCTGTTATTAAGTCTGTGTTTTTTATTTAATTATTATTTATACACGGTAAAAAAATTTATGTGGTATTCCGTCTCCATGGTGAACATAACATGCCTTTTATCTTGGCTTAAAAAAATTTCATAACATTTCCGTGACCTTGGAGAAAGTGTCTAAGAATTTATATTCTCTGCCCATCTTTATATATATTTCAGTGGAGAGGGAGTTTGTTTGCAGATCAAGGCTGATTAACTTTTTACTTTTTCGAGAAAAGTCTTCTATTCGGCACCAATCACTTGTGAAACAGAATTTCGTGTCTTAGTTCCCAGAATACGTCTAATATAATCTGATTTTTTTGTTTTCGTATTTTTGTGCGTCAAAAATATTACGTGCGACGAAAATATTTTCAATTTCAATTCCTAGCAATTTGAATATTTACTTTTTGACCTGATATAATGTCAAGATAAACATGACAGTGTTGATAATGGACTAGAAATGTCGTGTTATTTTATTGTTGACGTTCTGTGTTTCTTGGCAAACCAGGCCTGTATCGAGGCAGATGTATTTTTATAATAAAAAATAACAGTCGGACGCGAGCTCATTATTATTTATGCCATTCATTTAAACGCTGGATCAATTTTTATGCCCGACTAAATTTCGCGTCCGGTGTTGTTGCTCGGTACCGCATTCAGGGAGGAAAAAAAATCGGTAAAGGAAAAATGAAATTTTACAGATAGGAAATAAGATGTAACTGTGTTTTAAACATGGCGGACATGGTCGATAGAGAAACCGGAGGTTACGAAGCAGAATTTCTGATACCGGTTCCTGAAGAATACGAATGTCCTATTTGTCAGCTAGCATTTCGCGATCCAGTTCAAATCGAGGATTGTGGCCATCGATTTTGTCAATCATGTCTACAAGAGTTAAAACGAAGGTGAGCTGCCGTTTTTCAGAAAATCCTCTGCCGCGGTTGATAGGTGCACGAAGGAAACTTGAAGAAAATGATATTTAAAGTGACTGGAGGCTGGTTTGATATCATCAGTTATTTTCAATCGTTTCGGTTCGAGGGATACTGATTTTACTTTTTGCTGAATTTCTAACGATGGCATAGAAATTTCTGTCTATGATGATAAAATTTCATTTGTTTGGTCGTTGTCCGAAAAAAGTAAAAACCTTGTGTGTTGCGTTCTAGTGAATTCGAGGGCCTAGAGTATCAGAATAATTTTTTCCCCATTGATAAAACTGCAGGCAAGGAAGCCCATGTTTATGCCCTCTGGATAGAAAACCAATTTCATCTTCCAAGGTAATTGAAATAACTTTTGTATTTTCGTAAATTTGTATATTGTGTTCACTTACTTCGTTACCATGTGGTTTCGTTGTAAATATCGCTGTGGTTGCGTTCATAATAATTATGTACATCTTTTCCTTTCAAATGAAATATCGAAATTTGCGTTTGTTAAGAATTTACCCAAGAAGTAGTTGTTTAATCGCTTATTTTCTCTTTGACGTTTTCGGCGAGCGCCTTTTAATGACTAGTGGTCGATACCATTGTCGCGCAGACATAGCCGTCAAATATGCAAACCGCAAATTAAAATTCAGAGTCAGAATAGACAATGCATATATTTCGACTTGTTGTTCCAAATTCAAGTAAAGTTAACGAGAGTTGTATATAAGTACTTGAGTTTTATAGCTGCAATGTTAAAAAGGCAAAAGGCTGTTTGCGTCTCATTATCCTTTTAAATTCTTGAAACCATTATCGCAAGTGTCCCCGTGTACTCGTCGTACAAAAACATTTCAATGCCATTTGCTATTGACAACAGCGAAAGCGTTGACAAAAACGGACGCGACAAGCGCTCGATTGTACTAGAAGTGTTTTTGTTACATACTGAGTCATAAAGTCTTTGCAAAATGCGGGTCAAAGTCTTGTTTGTGGTTTGAAGGAAGGCCATTCCCTTGCTATAATTCATTTCTCTTGTGCACACAGAAAGAACACCGGCTATTACATTTGCTTGTATGAAATAATTTTTAGCTCACATCGGAGACATCGACGACTATTTTACCCTTTTTTTCTTTCTTTCTTGTCAGATCTTTGTCGATAAGGCAGCAAAGCGAGCCGTTTTATCACTCGGCGTGAAATGTGCTAATTGGAAAAGAAAATGTGATTGGACTGGAGATCTTATTTATGTTGAGGTAAGATTAGAGAACATTTAAAATATCTTCGCTTGCTTTGTTTTTGTCTTGTTTTATTGTTGTTATTGACTATTTGAACCTTCTCACTATCGAACAGCCCAATTTCCCCATAAGCTACATTTGCATCGTTGACTTTGAGAGAAAGTATTTCCACGAAGACTTTGAAGTATGGCGATAGATGATTTGTTACACAATCGCATGCGAATATAAATTTTCAGTTCTTCAACCGGCTCTCATCAACCCAGCTGCATGTCTCTGTTTCCAGATCACGTGTCTCAGCATTTGAGTGCTTCCTTTTACAGATGTCAACTTTCCTCTTTTTTAATTGTTTCGTCTTGCTGTTCGAAAGAAATAAAAAAAAGCGATGCTACAAATTGCCTTTCTTTGAGTAGGATTAGATGGCGGGGATTTAATTATTATGAGATGTTTTCCGGCGTCGGAAAACATTATTTCTAAAGATGTACTATTTTAATGCGAGCGGTTTATTGTTTTCATTTAGAAATGTAATTATTATTTTAATCCTAGGATGACTGTAACATCGGATGAAATCTAGCTTTCTCTCTTTCTGGTAAAATTTGGCAATATGAATATCCCACCCAACTACGAATTTATCTCTGCAATAGATTACATCCAAAGGAAACACTGTTTACTCTTTGGAAGGTGTAATTTTCATTTGACATGTCTCTTCCAAGAATCGGTCGTCCTAATTATCATTTTTCAGTGCAAAGCAAACACGACAGAAAATGAATTTATAACAAAAGAGTTCTCATACTTCTCCATATACGAGTCATCTCAACAATAAATAAGCTCAAGAACTACTCCAAAAACGAGCTCAGGTATTGCAATTTCTCCACACGATTTCCTTTGTTTAAATTGTGGTTTAGATTGGGTGTTTTGATATATCGGCTCATGAATGGTACGACCATCTGGTCAGAGTATTAACACATTTGGTGTAGTCTTCGAATTATCCTTATATGTTCTGCTTCATGAAAGGCGTCACACAGTAAATATTTTATATCGGACGCGTGTTTAAAAATCGACCCTCGTGATTTCAGCGTGGAGTTTTTATTTTAAGTATCAGTAAATGAAAAGGCATGTGTTTCTCTCTGCTTTTCAGTTTATTGCTAGTATTCTCAATTGAAATTTGCGCAATTTATTGCACAACATATGTCTCTGAGCAGTACCGAGAGATCTGACACCGTAAACACTTTCATCACTCAAAGAATATTTCTCAGGCTTTAAAGCATGAAGTCGTTTTGTAACGCCAACATCTTTTCGTGCTTCAGTACTCTTTGTTACCGACAGCTGAATCTTCTTTTTCGTTGACTGTCGATTGATAGTATTTTCGAGTAACTGGCCAGTCCTTGTAAAAGCTCCTTTAACAATGCTTCATTTGCACCACGAGCAAATATTGGTAAGTCCCCTTCAAGCACTTTACCTTTTTTTTAATTCATGTTAACAAATTCTAAATCCCAGACAAAACATATCTGATTTTTTAAATTTAAACGTTAGTTTTAAAATAACTGTAATTTCTTGTCCGAATAATTTCTAATTTGAACGATGGAGCCTTAATTTAGCTGAAAATTTCGTTGTCAGATTAACAAAATGTCCGTCGTAATTTTCTGGAAAGACAAACCAAAACTGTTTTTAAACCTTGCTTCCTCCAAGGCCTTTGATGACTGATTTTAGATCTGTTTATTGTGCGGATCAATTTATGTTTCATGACTCTTATTTGAAATAGGATTTGTTTTTTCACTTATTGCGATCAGCTTTCTGCACAGGAAACAGCAGCAGCAGCAACGACAAACTACTAATTAAGGTTTGCTCTGTTGGTAACAGCGTCCAGCTGGTATCTGAGAAGTCTAGGCCTAAGTTTTCAAACTTTGCGTCATTTGCAATTTACATACGATTTCAATCAGCTCAACTGACCCACTGACTCACCAAATGCCCGGCCAACGTACCCATCCACTGCCTGACCAACCGACCGAATTTAGAATAAATAGAATTCCGTGAATATTTTCTTGCAGGAGCACATGAAAAACTGTGCGTACGAAGATGTCCATTGTACAAACGTGGAATGTAATGAACTCATGCCTCGCCGAACGCTTCAGTATCATCTGGTGTCAAAGTGCCGTTGGAGGGTGGTGTCGTGCCAGTTTTGTTCAGAGATGTATACCTACAAGGATAGTAAGGTAGGTATGACTTGTCGCTTTTTTGTTGAAACGTTCACACGCATGCGCCATTCTACGCGTGCCATGAACTCGAAACCTGTATCAACAATAGTAGGGTTTGCGCAGACAATATAGCCTGAGCTCTACTGATGGAGATGTGCTTGCCACTTGGCATCATTTCCTTGTCTGGTTTTACAAAAACTACTCACTTATTTTCTTCCTCCTGTATAGTCGCTTTGGCTCCTGTTTTGAGCCAGATTTTTCCAATTTTAAGAGGCATGTAATTCACTTTGGAATATGAGAGGTTCACAGCTTGGGTGAGGTCGCTTCCTTGGCAAGACATTTGCTAGACAGTGGCTCTTTCATTATAGTTTCATAAATGGTGGAAAGGGGTTTTACAGCACGAAACTGTTAGGGCGTGACTTTGAGCCCAGGCACACTTAAAAAACACTGAAAGAATGTTGTGTTGCTTGATTACGATGTAAAACGAAGAATCGAGGAATTTTTTTCATTTGAGACCCGAACTGATTGCGGAGCATTGCTAATGTAAAGTTCTAAAACCAACCTGTGGCAGGCTTTCAGTGGGAAGAGACGATTGCGAAAAGGGTTGTGGGAAATAAGCTGAGCATTTGAGGAAGAAACAAAGTAGATCCTCTTCCCTCACTGGCTTTGCTTTTCTTTCACCTGCCTTTTCATCGTCTTCTTGGACGCAATCAGAGCCTGGAACAAGCTAGTAGAAACAGAGAGAAAAGTTGTTTAGAAAACGTCATTTTTCTCCCTTTCTTTCTATTCCCGGAAAATAATAGATTCACATGAAAGTATGCAAGCGAATCCCTTTGGAGTGCGTCAACAAGTGTGGAACTAAAGAGATTCCTCGAGAGGAAGTGAGTTGCAGCAAATATTGTGGAAGGCAAGATGAATGAATGGAATAATTTTCATAATTAGTTTGAGACCATCTAGTTTCTGAAATATGGAATTTTGTGGAGGACCTTAAGGAATTATATATCTCTTTCCAGAGTATTCAATCTACATGCTAATTCAGAATTGTTCGTCAGGGAGACCATGAAGCTATTCACCTGGTTATGGGCAGAAAACAGTACAGAAAATTGTGTGTGGATGTCAAATTCGTCTCCCCAATCCGAAGCTGGGATTGGCCCGACAAGTCCGAACGACTAATGTTTAGCCTGTATAACAATCGTTGAGGAAGGGGAAAGGGGAGGGCTGGGTCTGAAAGTTGAGTTTTGGTTCAGTCCTTTGAGGGAGGGGGAAGGGAAGGAGGAAGGGGGCAGGAGAGGGTGTATTTCAACGTTTAATTAATCGTGCGAAGATCGAAACATAGGCTCTAGCTCTACTGAGGAGTTCCATAAATCATCAACACTTTTTATGTCATGGGGTAAATAAGTTATGTCATTTTTTGGTTAGCGTTTATTCAAGGCACAACGTCCTTGAATTCCTAAGTGGAACGAAACAGCAAATTTAGTAACCATCGCCATGGAAAAGAATTCTCTAAAGTTTTACTTGTGGCCTCTTTTATATCCTATAGATGTCTTTTCATTTGACTGAGTGTCCGCTGGCAATCCATCCATGTCCTTATCAAGACATTGGTTGCGTATTTAAGGTTGGTGTTCTTTGGTAGTATGGTTTTGTTTCTTTTGTTTTTTTTGACATTCAGTAACGTGTTATGTAATAGTACATAAGCTGCATTCAGTAACTTGTGCGGCAGACGTCGAGAAGTATTGTAGAATGCAACTTGAAGGGGCACATTTCTCCTACGCAAACTTCAACAAAACCATCAACCCTGAACTAGACTAACACATCTGGCCTTATACTCTATGTACTTGGCGCTAGCCTGCGAGTAACCCCTCATTATTGGTGCTGCAGCTGCAGGAAGCGCGTTTCTTCGCCCGCGAGAAGATTGGAGACGAGTCGGGGAGAGGTTTGCCGGAGGGTCAGCACTAATAATCAGTTTTAGACACCTTACTCAAAACTATCGTCGGCTCACGTTCTTCAAGGCTCCATACTCAGTTCCTGCGGGCGAAGAAACGCTAGACCCGAAGCACTTATAATAACTACCTGCTTGCAGGCTTACCAAGAGCCCATTACTTGGGCTCCTAAGGCTATCAAGACGATGGGTGAAGGTGAAGACCAGAGTATGATCACAACCTACTTGGGGAAGGGGCGCGGTCGAGCGGTTTACGGCACTAAATTTGAAATCTAAATGTCCCAGGTCAAAATCAGCGCTACTCTGCGACCCAATTCTTTGCGCGATTTTCCCAAGTTCAGCTCCTCCTGTGCGTTACGCAAAGAGCCAACTGGTTTACCCCTGGCCCGATCAGATATTGAACAATTTCGTTCTTCTTACTGCTTTTGGTAATGTGCCTTGAGGGGCTTCTACAACCATCAGCATAGAAATTATTGATAAATCGGTGAAAATTTTATTATTTATCATCTGATTTGGTCTTAGTTATTAGTTTATCATTTTAACTTGACCTTTCTTAATCAACTTATTGTTTATCTGTCTGTTCTTTCAGGGAAAACGCGACATTCTTGAAGACCATTCTAAGACTGCGGTTCACACACATCTGAGCTTAGCTCTTCTTAAAATTCGTGAAAATGAGAGCCGAAGTACTTGTACAAACGGCGTCTTCATCTGGAAAATCAGCAATTATAAACAACAGTACGAACAGGCTGTTGCTTCACCTGAAGACCTGGCTATCTTCAGCCCACCATTTTACTCATGCCAATACGGATACAAACTGAGATTAAAAGCCTATCTCCAAGGCCGTGATCGCGGCAAATCAACGCATTTATCATTGTACATTATCATAATGAAGGGAGATTATGATGCGTTACTTGAGTGGCCCTTTAAACAAAAGATAACTTTTTATCTCATCGATCAAGGCGAGCAGAAAGCGCATCGTACACATCAGCTCAGCCCGAATCGATCACTACCTAACATTAAAGTTGTGTTTAATCGACCTACTATGAAAGAAAACCTCGGCATTGGTAACCCGTGTTTTGTACCACACGAAATGCTTGAGTCTGGCGACTTTATCAAGGACGATGCTATCTTTATCAAAGCAGTTGTTGAGCCATCAAAAGCAACTACTTAACTTGTTTAATTTAGGTAAAAACTCGGGGTTAACGCAACTTAATCCTAAATAATCCTTGCTCTTTTTTCACTGTGTAGCCACAATTGGCAAGATGACATATAAACTGAAAAAGTACAATCTTGGAAAAAGTGTTGTAACACGTTCCTCAACTTAGAGTTCAAGTTCACCCACCCGTTCTCAATACACCTCGCAGAGTTGATTTGGGCCAGCGAGGTGCTTTTACGTAAATGATGTTCTGTGAAAATTACTAATAACATGCATATTTCTCTGTAATGTGGTAAAGCTACTGAAATTAATGAAAACAAATTCCGACGAAATCAAAACAAATTTGCTTATGAGACGATCACCCTGGATGAAAAAGCTCACTATTGCGGCGCTGATGAGCTTCAGGTTAACTACTCCATAAATCCAACGTTTGTGAAAAATAAATAAAGAGAGCAAGAAAGAAATAGTGGTGTTATTGCCGGTCCGGTGGGGAAACTGTCGGCATTCATGTAGGAATTCCACTTTTAACATTAGAGATTGCATGTAGTGATAAGGAGTTGAGCCATGCCGGCTTACTTCAGAAACTAATTTTTTAGAATACAATTACATGGTCTGCTAACTTTTTGTGGTATTGGAGAAGATCGTTATCACTTCAACCAAAGATCTTCCACTTATTGTTTATAAGCAATGATTTAAAATTGAAAAATACAATACTTATTTCGTTGATTCGGGCTGAATTTCTGGAAACGTTACTAATGATGACAGAAAAAATACGCTGTAATCAAACGAACGGTCCATTTCCCCGGAGGGTGTTAATACATGAAGCGTGACGCTACGTGTCCAAATAATTACTATGCACATTTATTTTTTCAAGTTTTTCTGCGTTTGTTTTACGATGTGAAGCGAATGGCCGCAGATACATGTATATGGCTGTTTTATCAACTTATATTTGGGCAGTAACGCTGTTCTCGGTCACTGGAGCTTGGGTAAGGATTTTTTAACATCTTCAAGTTATCTCTGTTGAAAATAACGAATCTAAGCATCTATCTTATACGTATATGTTCAGCATGTTTTGTCTCGTTGGCGCTCAGAAGCCATGTTAATTTATTAGGTTCAAATTAAAAACCTAGTACGCAAAAAGTGCGTTTTGACCTAGCTTACCACAAGTTAAGTCGAACTTTCCACGAAAACAATCGTTCAATTTTGCGGTTTTGCAGGATAGCTGAAGATTGGTTAAATAATTTTATCATGACTTGTGCTATGTTTTGTTTAAAAATAAAGCATTTCTAAGTTGTTTTGAACCTAGTCAATAGGATTTTTTTAAAATCATAATGGCTTTGAAGACGATCATGTGTTGAATAACATTTAAGATTGCATGATACCGTACAAAGTTTCAAATGTGCCTATGGCAAATGTGCCTATGCGGCTCTACAATTCCCGTTGCAAGTCGTTGCCCTAAGGGATCTTCGTGCTTTGAAAATATGCACTCCTAATCTTTCAAACTTCGATATCATCTCTGTCTGGTGTGAAATAGCGAGAAATTTAGGAAATTTGAACATTAATGCGTAGTATTAACTGATTTCCTTAAGTTAAGAGAGGAAACCCAGAAAATCACACATTGATCGACCTCAGTTTTAATGTGAATTCAGTTGTTGATCTCCTCATCGTATTCTCTCCTTCTTTGACCATACAGGTGGATGGTTCCTATTACTGCAGAAGTGACTGGTAAGTTTTCATTGAGTTTCAAAATCAATCCAGGATTGCCCTGCTTTACACCATCATTAGTTTGGAAACACAAACCCCCCACACAGCCAATTAGATGCAAATTAAAACTAAATTCAATCGCGACTTCGACACTTACCGTTTTTCCAACCCTTCAGCCTTAAGTCTTGCTCATACTTTACAAGTTCCACTTTTTTCCCCAGTGATGTTTACCTTTCCATCTGACGCCTGACCATCGTGACTTTTGTTTCTTTTCTACTTATTAACAACTGAACGCTCAATCGCAATGCACTGTACACATGTCTAGTTGTAGCTTATATAACACGTAGTCAACAGATCTACTGTCCTCCATAAGGTGGGCCAGAATTATCGAGGCATACTGTGAGGAGCAATAGGGAATTGGTTTGGTTTATGACAATGTTGAAGAAACCAAAAGTAGTTTTCATTGAAAGTAAACTCAACCTGTGTTCAACTTGATGGATAGGTGAAGTTATCAGAACCTCCTTGACTGAAGTAGAAAATTTGGAAGTTTGACATCCTAACATGTAATGAGTTCTGTTGACTTATCCCTTCTTTTTTGTACTCATGATGTATTCTCTCTTTAACTTTTGGTGACAAATTTGATTTGACATGTTCAACATGATTACTGATTCAACATGGAATATCAAGCTGGGCTGATCATAGTAAATAATAGTTAAGTTTATTTGTTTCATGTAGGTGCAATTATAATGAATATTGCTGTGGTGATGATATATGCTGTGACTATCTCACTGGCTACTGGTATATTTGGTAAGTTTTCAGCCCCATTTCAGGACTGAATCAATTTTCATTACCTTCTTTAACCATCAGTGGCCATAAATCTTAATTCAGGGAGTAGGGCTAAGGATACTTGATAAATTTCTATGTAGGTGGGGGTAGGGACTGTAATTGTAGTAATCATAGGCTTAAGTTATTTGGAAAGGTTACAAGTGATTTGGAATGCAACTGATGTTGTAAAGAAGTACAAATCAATTAATTATTTCAAAACTAAGAAAAATCGCTCAACAAATAGGCCCAGTGCTTTATTCCAAATTCCAAAAAAGAAAAAAAGAAAAATACACTCAGTCACCTTTAAAAATAATGCTAACATATTTTCAACTTTTTACTCTCAATTTAATCTTTGTGCAGTGTTCCAGATGGTTTGACATGCTCTCAGCCAAATAGTTTATAAAAATATTTGCTTGTCTTAATATTAAGAGCAAAATCTTCTAATTTTCAGGCTTATGACAGGACTTCTGCTGTCTACTCTGATGTTAGTATGCTGCTGGTTGCGTTACCACAGATACCACTCCAGAGAATCTATTGAGTCAGCAAAATTAGGCTACGTTCCTGTACCTGGGACTGTGATGACATATGGGGATGAGTATTTCATTCACCAACAGCCACGTCAGGCACCATTGGTGCGTGAACCTCCACAGTTCAAAGCTGCATTGGAATATGCAGCACAACAGCATGAGAGTTCAAGATATTATCCACCTCCTTATAACTATATAGAGAGACGGACACCAAGTGCCCCACCTGAACCTAACAAATGAATGAACTAACTGCTGTGATCAGTTCTGTGCAAATGGTCAAATGTTTTCAATACTTATAATAATGATGATCCCTGCTGGGAATAATTTTCCTAGTAGAGCCATTCCATGGCTTTGCCTACCTTGAAAAGTTTAGTGCAAATTTGTAAAGTTATTATTGTTCCATTTCTGTGATATAGCCTGGTAGTTAATGGTTTCACTCTGTTTATAGGGAAATTCTCTGAATGTCCAAATGTTCCAAAGTCTTTGATTTACCTGACTTGACCTTAATGCAATAACTACTGATCACCACAAGACACTGGTATCTATCAAAGCAAAGAGTGGTTTGTGGCAATCAGAAATAATAGGCTCAAGAATATACTTTGATAGCACTGTGGCCAGAGATATGCAATTATTATGTCAGTTAATTTAAGGCTTACAGCAACCTGAAAAAATTAGCCTGAGCCTTTAAATTGGGATCAAGTTGCTCTTCATTACAGTAATATTGAGAAATTAGGGAGGAAGTGATGACAACCAACAGTGAGAGTTAAATTGCCATCATTTGAGATTCATGAAAATTTAACTTCAGACACAAACATGTGTTAGGCTTTGTAAAGGGAACATTTTTGAAATGAAATCAATTCAACTCTGATGGTCTCTATAAGACAAATTTCAACTTTCTTAAAGGTATTTGTCAAAAACTAGAAGAAAAACAGTTTGGAAAACATAAAGCTTTAATTCTACAAAATAAGGAGGTGCGAAATATTTTTGTCAATTTTTTTAACCTCAGAAAGAGAAAACTTTAAATAAAGTTTACTATCTGTATTTATTGTACATTGTCTTTTTCTCTGAAATAAAAGACTTACAATAATTCTATATTTTTAGGAAATTTTAGCTATTTTTTGGTACGCTTTCTCTTTGGCTTGCTTCCTTCATGCGTTGATTCAACTGTTGGCTGAAGGTGTCTCATACTTCTTGTAACCTAAAAAAGAGTTATTTTTTTGTGAGTTCAGTTAATAATTAAACCTTTTTACCCACTTGCTCTGTGGATGTGCCACTGGAAAAGTTTATTTCAACTCTGGTTACCTTTCATAAGTCCAACAAAAGTGACATTTTTTACAGAAAAAATATAACTTGAATAAATTTGAATATAATCAATGGTATTGTATACTGACCTTGGATGCTGTGGAAAATGATCTCTTCTTTATGTCTTTTATCCTTGAGCTCTTTGATATATTTTTCTGCAGAGAGAAATCCTTAATATTAAGTAATATCAAGTATTAAAAGAACACACATGCCAAGACAGGTGATGAGGTGACATTTAGTCAACATAACAGCTCTAAAAAACAATTACACCACCTGAACTTTAACTGTTATTAATTATTTTAATAATTATCAAAATCATAAAAAATTTGTTTGCCTTTGTTCAAAATTCCAATTTCTGCCTCATCCTCTATCCTGGTTCTGAAAATATATTCTGTCAAATATATTGGGTTTTTCAAGTTTGTCTTCAATCTGAACTAGTTACCCTTTGACTCCCAGAAGTGACTAACATGTAACCTCTCCTTATGATATCCACATGTTTTCTAGCAAATGGTTTATCAGAATTCTAAAACTTATCAGGAAGAAGATTTTCCCTTGATCTTACACCAAGTTCTCATTATTAATTTACAAGGAATTGTGCAGCAGCACCAGGAGAGAATTAACAGTCAGATCTTGGGAGTTAAAGGGTTTTAAAAAATACATGACCCCTCTTTGTATCTGGTTTTTATTATCCTCTCTTTCCACAACTGAACAGTTCTAATCAGTAAAAATGTTTGACCATAAATAATAGATTTATGAGCTTGTTTGTTTACCTGACTGGCAGCTGAGGTCCCAGGACAGGCCTCCTCATTTGTCGTTGTTGTTGTTGGTTGGGTGTTTCCTGATTGAACATGATTTGCATCTGATAATGATGTCCCAGTTTTCTTCTCCAATACATGCTTTTTTTAAAGAAACAAATGACCAGATGAAAAATAAACTTTTATCAAAACTTTCTTCAATTGTTAGTCACTCACATTTAAGTTTACAATATATAGTTATAATTACTATAGTCAAGGTTGATTTTGAAAATTTAGGTAATGCAAGCTTTTTTTGACAATGTGTTGTTTTACTGAGGGGGGGGGGGGACACAACATGTCTAATACTTGAAGGCAAGGTGAGGCAGCTTGGGGGGCAACAAGGCCTAGGAGGAAGTGTTACCCCTGACATCAAAAGACTACACCTTGAACCCATGGAAACAGACTTCTGAGAAAATCTTACCAATCTTCCACTTTGCTCTAACAAGTCTAAGATGAACTTCTGAGCTGCAATCTTTTAAGATTATTTTGAAATGGCCTTATATAAATTATAACTCTTGCCCCATATTTACATTCCGTTATGTTCTCCAAATTAATGTTCTAGGAAAATGTAACTTGTAGAATATGACACATAACACACTTTCAAATCCATACCTTCTGACATCTCATTCGCTTCCACTCATCAAATTTTTGCAATTCACTTGGGAGAGAAAAAATTCTCATTAATTCACAATAAACTTTAGCTTATCTAAAGAGAACTGCAAAACAACTTCAGGCTACAAACTGTAGGAGAAAGAAAAAGGTTATTAATAACTAAAGAACTTTTCCTTAATACACTGTATGACATAAGTTAAGATTAACATACTCTCCTCCAGTTTAATTCAGTGATATCACACTGTTTTTGCATGCAGTTTACAAAGGACTTTTGTTGAAAAGTTTTCAAAGTTACTTTTGTCAGTATAATTGGCATCAGATAACTCAGTATATCAAAACACTGTCTTTATTGATTAGTTAAAGTTTAACCAACCTGGCAACATCTGTCACCATTTCTTCAGATATTGCATTAAATGACCTATCTCCACTAATGAGCCTTGTTTCTTGTAACTTGTTCTTTAATTCTTTGTAGTTGTTGTGAGCTTCTTGTAAATACTGTGACAAACAAAGCACTTGTAAGAAGACAAAGAAAAAATTTGTCTCAATCTCTGGAAAGCAGGACAAGTTGTAAAGATCAATCAACAGCTTTACAAAGATTGACATATCATAAAGAAAGATGTTTTTTTTCTGTCCTCATGAGGAATTGAACCTTGGATCATCGGATTCTGTGCTCCGATGCTCTACCACTGAGCCACAGAGACTCCATGGTGAGTGAGGTCTATTATGAAGTTCAAATGACATGCGTCCTGCATACTGCTAGGATCAGCAATGTTGATAGCGTAATGTTTGTAGATAGAAATGAGAGAGATGGTAAGTTTGAAATATCTTGTTAAAATCATTTTTAATGTTTACCTCCATTGCTCGAAACCTTTCTTCCACAGTTTCATTCACCTCATCAATCAAAGTAGAACTTTGACCTTCATCTTGGCCAGTAATAGTTTCTCTGGAACCATAGGAAAGCTAAAATATACATGAAATGGCTAAAAGTCAATGTTACTGTCAGTATTGATTTTTTCCCATTCACTCTAGTCACCCACTTCATCTTTAAGATGCTTTTGGCAGTTCAATTACTATGAAAACCTCTGGGAAAACTGTAAAATCCTGGTAATAGGAAAAATCCCAAATGTTATACAAGTTTGTAAAGTGGCTACAGGAAAGAATAGTTATAACTTTTTCTGTGGATCAAAGTGGCAAGCCCAAGCTGGATCAAGAACAGCAAATCAGAACACAGGATTGACTACACCTCTCCTACTTCTGCCACTAGGTACCTGGGCTGTCACTAACAGCTATAACATGTTATACAGCCGAGCTCACTTGATGTACTAAGTGAAGAGGTCAATTGCTGTCCTATGACACCTGGGCAAGTATTACACTGCCACAGGTAATATCTCCGATGTAACAGCTGCCCAGGTGCAAAGAGGAAGCACTTGGTCACTTCTAATGGACTGTTAAAATCTCTTTTCGAATTATTATCCTGTGTGAAACATAGGGAGAAGATGATGGCAGATCAAAAGCCATTTAGGGGTTAATTCCCAGCAGCCTTCACTTGCTTTGTTTAAATAAGCATGAAATTCAATTTTTTTACCGGAATTGGCATAGCAACAAATAAGAAAGCCTTTCCATTGTTCAGAAGTCTCAAGATATAATCAGCATCATGATGCTAGAAAAAAACAATAATAATAAAAAAATGATTGATGCTAATATTAAAATAATGAGTATAATAACATTGGTAATATCACATGAAGACTACATTGTTGAACACATTGTGTATAATTTCCTTAAGAGACGTCCTAAAGAAATGTATGCATAAATCATCAAAGTGCAGTATTGTTTAGGAGAGGAGTACTAGTGCAGGGTTAAACTGGGAAAGCAAATTTACTAAATACTTTGTAATATCAGTATTCATTCATTTTTTAGTCAAGGTTATGCTGCTTGTTCATGTTGTACACTCAGAGGGGTACAAAAAAAGTAAAAAAAAAAAAAAGGCTCAAGTCTATACTCAAGACCATTGGCCCACCCAGCCAAAGTTTATCCTGATTTCACTAGAGCATGAAGTGACTAAGAGTATCACTACTCCCCCCCTGAAAGGGATGCTAGTCCATTACAAGGTTACCCCCTTCCCTGAATGTCATCAGGCTTCCCTGACAATTCGTTGGTATTCATCTTGGGTGGAGAGGCAATGTGAGAGGAAAGTGTTTGCCCAAGAACAACATGTCAACCCAGCCAGAGTTGGTATCAGCAATACAGCAATTCTGTATCACCTTTTGCTCAATGATTTGTTTATGAAGTTCCTTGAGGTCCCTCATCATCGATAATGTCATTCGAATCTGTAACAAAAGAATATTACAATTAATCTATCAAGAGAACCTGCAGACTGGATGATCTCCTTACAAAAAACACAACACAGACAACGAAAACTGCATACAGTAGATTACCTTCACTTTTGGTTGGCAAAGCTGTGTATGATAGATGGCATACAGAGCATACAGAGCTCCAATACGACACTGAAAGCTACTTGGAGTTGATTCAAGGTAAGTGCTGATGATACGAAACAAGTAGTCTACAAGCTGTAACAGAATTAAACAAAAAAATGATAAACCAGGTTGCAATTGATTTGCATAGTTTTGCACTGAAATTTCGTATCATAAGAATCACTTTGTATGAAAATGTATTACACCTGTATTCTTCGGTCGCCATCCCTTCCACCGCTGGAAAAAACGAAAACAGACATCGATTGAGCTCATAACTGGACGGCCTAATTCTAATAATTTATATTGAAGACAGCTTGCAGAAAAGAGAACCAGCTTCTATTGTCAGATCAAAAACCATCATCTTGGAGAAAATTCTTACCAGTGTATTAAAGAGAAGTTCATCTCTCTCCATACTTCACAAAATTTTTCAAATCTTACAGTGTTTAGGCTCTCAAACCGCGACAATAACAAACGACAATCTGCGATCAAACCTTCCGCCATTATTTATCCTCTTCAGTCATCACCAAGCTACCACAGCCAAGAAAAATCATGGCGCTTTTGCAACCTGGGCACCAGGCGCGCTCCTTGAAAATCACCGAAAAATCTGTAAAAGTTAGTTAACTGACTTGAGTTTGATGAAGTGGAGTAGGTGGTTTTGCGTTTTTCAGGACGTTACACAGCCTTGCTAGTTTCTTCATGGCTATGAGGAGCAGTTTGACGGCTCCTCAGTATTATGCGGGACTGCGAAAGGATGCGACAAACCATGATTGTTACATCGTCTGCTTACATACTTTCCATTGACAACGCTGTTTCCAGTATTAAATTTTTCGTCTTCAATTTCGCGCCGTTTCGCGCCAAATGACGCTCAGCTCAGGTCTGGTCATAGTTTGCTTATTTTTCAGTTAAGCGGGGAAACTATGGAGTACCTCCAAGTTCTCTTTGAAACTTCATTTCCAATAGTTTTTATCTGTGGGTTTTTACTTCCAATGTCGGCCATGAAGCAAGAACTCCACTCTGCTACAAATGAATGCAGATTGTAAAACTGATACTCTGACGTTCAGCTTACAGCTGGCTGAAAAAAAAAGGGTCGAAACTTGCTTCTCTTGATGAATAGAAGTATTCCCTGGAGCGGAAACCACAATAAAACTTTTATGTGTCTCGAATTCGAAAGTGTCAAATTTTCTTACATAGTTGACTGAACAACGCATCGTAAAATCCGGCATTACATTGAGGTGTAAAGCTACTCAGAATTGCCAAAAATAAACAAACTTAGATATCAAACCGAATTATAATATAATTAAGCGATGTAAGATGAATAAATTTATACGAATTATTGATTTATGGAAAAAGGAAGCTAAGTAAAGGAAAGAGAAAAGATGTGCATATCTCTGAGAAACACTAGACTCGACAAGATAATTGCTTTCGAATTTTTTTTATTTCTTGCTTAAACAGCCGCTGATCATGAGAGGCTTTTTTTAAATTCTTTATGTAAATTATTCTAAATATAGAAGGACTACATGGGTGCAAATAATTTTTTCTTTAATGAGCACCGATACGATTAATATGATATGTCTACGTTGATACTAGCCTTATGAAATTAAAGATCAAAAAATGAAAAAAATTGTTATTGTAGTTGATGACAGAAATTTTTTTAAAAACTATTTCATCACGGTTGCTTACCGTCGAGATGCTTTTCATTGCATCTTGGACCTGATGACTAATATCTATGACTGATATTGACTTTTTACAGGATCAGAAAAATACTGTATAAAAATGGCTGCAAAAGTATAAATATCGTTTGATTTATCTAGCTTCAAGGTACAGAGTTCACTCCATCTAGAACACGGTATTTCGAAATCGAGCAGTTCTTGGATAATCAGTCGGTCGGAATCTAGAAGTAATGGTGTGAATATAAAAAATTTGATTGGGATGGTAACTTGCGTCACGAAAAGTACGGAAAGTGATATTCATTCTAATATGTGACAACGGATTTTAAACGCATTCTTGAGGTGACACAAGCGCATTGAAGTGGCACAAAGGTTGGATAAAGCAGACAAATGTGAATTACGACTTAATGGCCGAGCGACTGAAGACTTATCAGACAGATTTTCTCTCGTTCAAACAGAAAGCACTGCGTATCCAAGCCTGTTACCAACGGAGAGAACCAACAATTTTGGAAATGGAGGTCAGTTTTTTCGTAAACAGAGACAAGTGTTTTATGCCATTGAGCGGGCTGATGATCAAATTATCGAATGCGATACTTAATATTCGTATGCATCGATGCCGTGCTCTATCCTCAACTTTACTAAAACATAATGTTATTATTACTATCGATTACATTGATCAAATCTCAAAACTCCTGCCAGTAATTTCTTGCTCAACCAAGAAGCTTTCTTCACAGATCAAACTGCGATGTACAAATTACGAATCAAAATGGCTGCTCTGAAATAATCTATTACCCGTTAGGACTGTCAACAGAAAACGTCGAAAGGAAATGTTTAGCACTTACGAGCGATAAGAAAACCAGGAAATGAAAAAACGCAAATGGCTTCTCGGAAATTATTGGCCAGAAATGATTTCTGCTATAAGATGAACATTTGAGAAAGCAAGTTCTCTCTTATCTTTTTTTTCCATAAAATTCTCTTTCTATAGGGTAAAATAGAATAATCATAACAATCAGGTGATCTAACCGCAGATATTGTAATTGTTTTACTGTTGTCAAACTCTGTTCAGACCAGTCTTGAACTGAATGTGCCTTTGCGGAACAAGGAAATTAACACTGTCAGTATCAAACTTGAATATCGATAGACAGTTACTGGGGTTAGAAACGTGCGTGACAAACGTTGAAAAAAAAATATACGTCTATATTCAAAAAAGAGAAGAAAGAAAAAACACTTTTGTCAGGGACGGATGGGTAGAATGCAGAGAAAGGCTTCATTCGAGACGGCTGAGGGTTTTTTCTGTTCCAACTTAGAAAAAATAAAGCCGCTTTGTGACACTCGTTGATCGATCAGCCTGTCTAGTCGAGAATTGTGGAACAGTATACACATGACAACAGGCACCTTGCTGTTGCTCATGATCCTCGATTAGGTACAAATGAGGGCTGTAAAACAAATCTCCTTTCCCTTCCCTAGTGAGAAATGAATCGAGAAATAAGTCAATTATCATAAAAAGAGTTTATAGAAAAAAATTGTTGAATATTCAAAAAGTTAAGAAATTAACGAACAAGCCAACGAAGTAATTGCTATTAAAACAGATGGATTAATGAATTATTGAATGAAAATGATGACGACACAAACGAATGCTATGCAAATTGCGTCGCTAGAAGCTTCTGTTAAAGTGATTTGAAATGAAGGTCAGTAGATGCTATGTTCAAAAGGTAAACTTCAATCTGTTCACAAAATCATGAGACATTTTTCGAAGCCGGATTTTAAACCCCAGCTGTCGGATCGTTTCGATGTCGTTTCAGTTGCCGATCATTTGCATTGAATGATAGCCAATGGATTTGTCAGCTGATTTATTTGCCCCTGCTAAATTGTTGTTGTTCTAAAAGGAATTCGAGGAACGAAACAATTTATTGATTAAGATGAAGAATAGCTTATTGTTCGAGAGGCGTAAACATTTTAACAGACTTGACTAACACTTCCTATCCGGATAAGAAGCTTTGTGTTGGTTTCAGTTTGAGCGGAAGCGAGACTGAAGCGCTACATCAAAGTATTAATTTGGTGACATTACGCAATAATCCGGAAAACTGTAGAAGGATTATTAATAAAAAGGTTGCCCTCGTTGGATGACCTTGAATGAAATTAATCATACATAAATAAGTTTTATCAGCATCCAGTCCAATTAAATTTTACGTTAGAAAAAGAGAGAGTTAGATTATTCTAGAGTCATAGATCAAAGAGGTTTCGTATGAAACTACGATGGGTTTGTACTTCGGATTATTGCTCAATCGCCGGCCAGATTTGGGGGGGGGGGGGGGGGGGGGGGGGGGGAGAAGGGATGTAACTCATCCAGATTATTTACCTTTATCTTGGTACCAGATCCTAAACAGTTGCTAAGCTGATCTATAACAGTTACTTTCTTGCGCTATCGCATTAGAAACCTCAAGTTGGTAATGAAGATGTGTTGGTGTAAACCATTACGGTGGCCTCTGATTTTTTTGTTACGTTATAATCGGTGATGGAGAACTTCCAAAAACAGAAAGTGAAGTACTGGAAAAGATACAAAAGCAACGTAATAAATATACTAAAAAGATTTTGCAAAGCTCTATATGTTCAATTTTCTCGTAATTATTCAGCTACACTTGCATAAGATGTAGAGTGCTGGCTGTAATTCACACTTAGATACATCAACTGATTAGCAAAATTTTATATAGTTCTTTTTTTTTTTTTAAGTTTATTGTTGTTTGTGAAGTTGAAATTTTTTCTCTAATACAATCATCCGGTATTTTTGTTCATTTTGACGGAAGAAGTCTGCCTCATTGGTTATTTACAGCGGTTTTTGATTTGTATGCTATTCCTGATGCTAAAAATGATGGGACAATTTTAGACACTTCCCTTTCCATTTTTTCCACACAAATAAGGAACCGAGCGATTCGTGTGATGTAGTCGAATGGAAATTGCGTAAATAAATTTGTTAACTGCTAGATGATGTCACAGTCCATGTCAGACTAATAAAACGTCCATCAATAATTATAAAAATCAAAATGCGTATTATGAGATTAAGACAAAGAGAGTTAAAAGATGGGCACGGAAACTCGTGTCACATCTGGATCGAAGAATGATCGGTCATCGTCATGCTTGTTCAAAATTCTTTCAATTTCATACGATTTATTTAGGGATGACGGTTTTACTCATAACATAGAAAAAATCTCGAACATACTCTCTCTTGATGTCAGTTCTTTAATGAATTTTTTCTTGAGAGTTTTAAATATCTCTTAGCGACCCATGCAAACGAAAGCTATTTTGCAGAATGACATCATGTCATTATGACTCCCACACCTCCCTACTAAGTCGCACGTGACCAAAATTTAATGGCGCACATAATAGCGCTTCTTGATTGGTGGTTTGAGTCACGTGGGAGGTCGTAACCACAAAATCCACTCAAATTTATTCATAGTTTCATAACAGAATGATTCGAATTGGTATCTTTATCGTTGAGGAATGATTCTTTCGTTGTGTGGCAATACACCGTTGTACGGCGAAGGATTTGGATTTAATTTGGCGCCGAAAACATGAAGGTTACGGTGTGTTTTGATGCTGTGCGTGTCATCGTTCCGTGCGGGAATGGCGAACTTACTGTCACTGAGCTTATAGAACGAGCGGTTTCGAGGTATCGCAAAGCTACAAACAAGGCAAGTATACGGTCTGTTTATAAAGTGTCTCTCTCGACAGTTAAGCATTGCTGTTGCTTAAATTCCGTTCTCAACTGTCTTGCCCTTGTCAACTTTCGATAGAGACCGAGTCACGATTATTACTTGTTTAATTCGGATGTGAATTGCCTAAGGGTCTATTAGAATCTCATTTTTGAGTACCACAGCTTCGTGCGTTTGTTTTTTCTCTGTGTTTGAATTGTATTCAAACTAAACTTTCTTTACCCACGAATGCTAATGTCTTTTGGTTCAGTTTGGTCGCACTCTCTCGAATAACTTGTATAAGTCCGATTTCCGGCGCACGGTCGATGGAGCGTTCGATTGAAGTCCTACCAAATTTAGCCAAGCTGTGAGTTTAGAGGTTTGTATCGAACTAGCAAATGGGATTTAATTGCCTCAGGTCGGTTTCTAAATATTAGATTTTCATCGTTTGATGGCAACATTAAATAAACTACAGATTCCGGTAAAAGGCTTCAAATATTCTTGATTTTTCGCTTTGCCGGAAAACTTCGTCGCCTAAAGGGTTCTACATTGTTTGCAGCATAGCATATCGATTTATTATATCTTCGCTTCTAGTAAATCCACAATCGATATATTGCGGTGTAATTTCTCTTAAACCTAACAATGAGAGCTTATTTATCTGACAAATTTTCTGCTTTCCTTTATTCTAAGTGTTGGTTTTAAATGTAGCTCTTGTGCCCGGCTTTGGTCAGGGAGGTTAAACTCGAACACAATTTACAACTTAACACTAGTTTTCTTTAAGGGTATGACTAATGTTCAAGGTTACGTTGACTAGATTTTCAGCGATAAATTGCTTTTTTGAGGCAGCAATTGTGCAGTGCGATCTTTTTAACCAAATACTCATTTATATTTGCTTTATTTGCAGCCTGCAGATGAGCACGTTCAAGTGCATTTTCTTGAGACCAGCGATGATCGTGCTATTCTCGATCCTGACGATATACTCAGTGATGTGGTCGACGACAAAGATAAGGTACTATTATCCTTTCCTTCTCCGATTTCATGTCTATCGTAATGTTTTTATAAGGTATTACTCGCTTAGATTAAATTTAAAATTACACATTTATAAATTCCGATTGCGTCCTGTGTTATTGAAATTTATTACGCTGAAATGATCACTTTATTTGATAGCGTGACACGCTTTACAACTCTAGTAGCAGAATTTTTTCCTATCAAAACTAGAACTGTTGTTTTTATCCTGTCCAATTCCACATCGGAAGTTAATCTGTTGAGGTAATTTAGGAAATTTCAAATCAATTTCGTAAGAAGATCAGTATTTTTGTTTGTTTACTGAATTTCAAATATGAAAACCTCCTGTTGAGTCGTGTGAAAAATTTTGTCTCTTTTCCAGACAATTTATTCATGAATCATTGTAACAAATTTAACAATGTCCCTTGTTCAGGACAGATTTACTTGTGGTTTTGACTTTGCTTCCTTCTGTAATGAATTGATCCGGGTAATTTTGTTCCTCATTATGAATTGTGAAATGTGCTTGTCATTACAAGTAAAATTTGTGTGCATGCATTGTATTTTGTGAGAAAAATCCGTGATTTTGAGAACCAATTTCTGCTAATTTCAACATATGTTTTCTTTGTTGATAATGTTATTCTCATCTGCATTTCTCAGTTTCAAATATTTTATTATTTATCACCTTGACTTGAAGATTTTACACATACACACATTCCAAGGTTTTTGTATTTCAATTGCTTAGACAGAATGATGCAACTTTCACCGTGTCAGTTTGTGCCTGCTAAATTGAGTTGGGCCTTAAATGCTGCAATGTTTTAAAACTACTGAATACTTACGTAGCTTCTGGGAGACTTAATTACAGACTTAATTACAGAGTATTGGCTCATAATGAAGAAAATCCAACAGACTGTTCATGAAAAAATTAAGAGTATTGTGTCTGCCCTTTGAGAGTTTTGTGCCAGTATTTCAGACATGACAATTGATTCAGGCATTCAATTAAAGGGTACTTATTGTTTTAATGTTGACCTCTGAAACTGAGACCATGAATGGACCACTTCTTCTGTAGCGGTCCATTTAAGGGTTGATGTGACAAGATCTTTGTTGTCGCTATAAAGAAGGGTTAAATTTGCCATTATGATTTTCTAGTCCCAAATTCACTTGTTATATGGCAAAGGTTGTTTCCATAAGTGATCAGTATTCAGTAAATATAGGACCTACTTGTCTTAAACACCTCTTGGGCTGGCAAGAGATGGAAATTTAAGAGCTTAATCAGGAAGACTGTAGAAGTTAGCCATCTAAGTCCCATTAGGATTCATGTCTACATTGATGTCATAATTTGGGTAAGGAGTATTGTATCTGTGACAGAACAGAGAAACAATGCTGTGCATATCTGAAGCTTACTGATCTTACTATTTACATGATTATCGTTGGTGGTGTTGTTGTTTTTCTTTTCTGTGGATTTTAATACATAAATGTTACAAATGTTATTATGCCATAATCCTTGCATACCCAGATCAAAGTCCATAACAAGCTTTTTTGTTCACCATGTGTAGAGTTTCCTTTCATGACACTTTTCACCTTTTTCAATGGTACAATACAGGTTACTGATTCTACTTATAAATGGGTCACCAACTGTAGCTTAAAATTCTAGAGTGGAAGTGTGTTGTGTACATGTCTAACAATACCAACCTGTTTGTGTATGTGCCAAGGTTGTGTAACTAGAAGCAGGTTATTATTTTTTAATCTCAGTGCAACCTAATATCTTATGCTATCTCTAAGGATAAGTTCACTCCTGAAGTGTATCTGTGTAAGGTTTTTATTGAATCATAAGTGCTAGTTAGGTATTTACTTAAAAAACTTAGTTGTATGGGAGGATGCTAATTTGGGGCAAGCTCTGGCAGTTTTTCTTCCAGCCTTGTGGTTAGTCTTAGTGCATGAAGGGTTTCCTCTAATTGAGTATTTGAGTTACTCTGTGTTATTGTAGTGTCACTAAACAAAATAAGTTAACTTGGGTACCTCTGGCTTCTCATTGCAAGTGATTGACTGGATGGAAAAATTGCACCGCAGAAATTCTTGTAAAGAGTTTTTGACCAGTGGTGTTGATTCAAACTTACTTGCTCGTAAGATTTTTGTGTATAGTTGTTTTGAACTTTCAACGAAGAATCTCAAGAAAGACTTACTATGATGTCCAATCACTCGCTTGTCTTAAAAAAACCTGAGACAGTCCAGCATTATCCCTAGTTTTTTTTATGATACTGAATGATGTTACAGTTGAAGAGATATGGGAAGTGACCTTTGGAAAGTCATGATTCTTTGATCCTGAAGGCTAACTACTTGTACAACAGACAACAAAGTCCACTTAGACAGTACAATAGTGTCTTTGTACAGCTTGTGAGCTCATTAATTTGTCTTTCTTAGCTTCCACTCCTAACTATCCATTTTGTGGCAGACTAGTTTTCAGTATTTGGTGTTGTATATAGCTAAGTAGCTGTGTATGAATATGTTCACAGGGTTGAAATACTGGTTTCTCCAAAACTGATGGCTTCTTTGTTTGAGTATTGTTTAAAAGCTTTTACAAAAGATTAATTGTTTTGGCTGAGATTCTCCTTTCAGGTACTAATAAGTGGCATGATCCAAATTCACATAAAACAACATGTGTGTGTTTGTTTAACCATTGTAGATACATGGATAGACCAACCTGTCTTTTTTTTCACTTTTTCAGCTGTTGCTGAACTTTGATCAAAGGGTTCTGACTTTAATATGATTAACAGTGAGCTTGATCATTTAACATGATTTTTTTTTATTTTGGGACCCATGCTGTTTTATTTCATGAGTAATTCATTGGAAACTGCAAAAAAAAATATAGGCTATGTGAAATGATGAATATAATAGATGGTTGTTGAAATAACCTTGATATGTGTGTGTGTTGATGGCTAAAATTGTATAATGTGCAAATCAATGAATGGTGTAATGTTTTATTATAAACTGAGGTTGTTGATGACTATATTTGTGGAACTTTACTGCTGTGTCTGAGGTGATGTTGCTTGAATGGATTAGGTGATTTTATCCAATTTTTAATTGGTTTTTTGTCAAAAAGTAATTTTTGGATGGATAATATTGGTAAGTTCTATGGAAGTGTATTTTTGTTTTCACATGTCTTTTAGCTTCACCTATTAAAGTAAGTGAAAATTCTTAATTAAAAAAAGTGACCCTTTCTATTGCTAGACAGCTCTAACAGAAGACATTGATTGCTTCATTCCAGAAATTTTTCTAATTTTATTTCTTGACAGTTAAGTCAAATTGTCATTTAATTGTTTGCAAACTATTCCTAGAGTGTTTGCCAATAATATCTCAGCGAGATTGTTATGCAAAATATTATTGATAGAAGTGCCAGAATTATTTTTCCTTACAAAGATGTCACTTTATTCCATATTGTTTTAACTGCAGCATACACAACTCCTGGAGTAAAGTAAACAGAAATTAGTCTTAAAACTTCCTTATATGGCTTGACAGAATGTGCTTTTGGAAAACCTTTTTAAAGTTAATTGTTTTTACTTTTTGTTGACATTTCTGATGGCAAATCAATTTCATACTCTCAAGATGGTCATAGTATATTTCAATATGGTTGCTTTTCTGGCTAGAATGCCATTAGAAAGAATGTAAAAATTCAAAACCTCTCTTTTACTGTCAAAGTATTTAGCCTGAGGGGATTGTTGGAGACATTAAACAAAAATTAAAAAAAAAAAACTTTTGATGGGTAGGATACTTAAAAATGAAAATTTGCATTGTTACTTAATCACTGCTAAGCTTACAGCAATTGTTATTAGTAATTAAAATACATGTTATAGGTTTTATAATTTTCTCCCTTTTATTTTGATAAAATGTATATAAAGTGAGAAATTATTGTTGATCTTTACTCAGTTTTGACCGTAAGAGTGGTCCTGCATTTTTAATGGTTTGTTTGCAATAGCATGAGTTAAAAATTGGTTTAGCAAATTGCTGGCTCAAAGCTAGTTAGAATATTTGGTTTTTTAGCCGATTGTACATTTTGAGTCGACTTCATCTTGTAACATCTTGCTCATTCATTACTTGATCATAACCCATCAACTTCAAAATCTCATTTGTAATTTTCCTAACTGTCTGCTATACAGTTCTTGTGATATTAGTTTGGAAAATTTGATATTGGATCCTCTTATAATCCCTTAACTGATATTTTTCTTTATTCTCTCATTTGTCTGCTTGATATTGTATTGATATTGTAAGGAGAAATTCTGTGTTGGTCACTCATGGGAGCTAAAGGGTTAAAATACATGGAAATAAATGATGATAATAAATGGAATTTGGTAGTTGATATTGCACGAGGTAGCTCTTCTTGTCCACTGTTTCCAGGTCAAATTAGGCTCTAGAATGTTGGTTTTTGTGGAGGGAAGGAAACAGGAGAACTCAGAGAAAAACCCTCAGAGTAGGAATAAGGACCAAAAACTAACTCAATCCACATGTGACACCAGGTTTAGGAATTGAACCTGAATTGAACACAACCCATCCAATTAATAACTATTTACACATAGTACAATGCTTTGATTTGTTTTGCAGTTACTCGCCGTTTTTCAAGAAGGTTCTTCTCAATTTCTTCATCGACCAGCACAAAATGGCAGCTATGGAACAAGTGCATCGTCTATAGGAACAGCAAGTCCTGATTTGTCACTGCATGAGGATGAACCTCCAAAATACATAGAAGAACCACCCTTAAAACAATTTGCTCCAACAGAACCAAATGCAAATGGTGAAATTAAGACTGAACCAAGGGCAGTGAAAAGCCCCCCACCTCCTGTACCACCTAAACCAGTTAGAAACAGCACCAAGAACAACAGTAGGATTTCTTACATTGAATCTATCCCTTCAGAGGATTCTGGAATATCCTCACATGATGACAGATTTCGAATAAGTTCAGACTCATCAAAGTCTGAAACAATTGAGAGTGTAGTTGTCAAACCTACAATTTACAGGACAGGTGAAATGACCTTTGTCGCGGTTGGGAGGCCTGTTAACCAAGCTGTGCATAATGGTCATAACGGTCATAATGGTCATGCAAACCATGATAGAAGACGTTTCTCATCAACGAGTTCTGACCATGCTGATAATGAACACAGTGATATAGAAGAAGAAACATTTTCACTGGGTCGTAATTCAACTCGGAAATCTATGTTTGTGGATAGCCCAATATTGGACAGATGGGCTGAGCTACAGGAGGAGAGAATGTTTGTGGTGAGAGAGGCATTTTACTTTTAATACTAATATTTGATCTTTTGTGGTGCAAGGTTGTTTTTGGTTATAATTTTCCTTTGTTTGGAGCTTAATTTTGCTAATTACTATTCCAAAAGGTAAAGGAAAATAGAATTTTGGCCAACAATAAACTGTTTACAGCAGACATGTTTTATATTGCAGAATTAGTGAAGTAGTTAATATAATGAAGTGTGCATGTGACTCAGAAGTCTTGTAAGTGTTTAAGGAGCAAAACTAGCACCTGTTAACTGTTAAGGAAACCTGACAGAATGGTGGGGTATAACATATGACTTCATAAAACTCTAGCAATAATTATTAACAACTGTTCACCAAAGTGGAGATGGCTAGTGGTGGATATTCATCAAGCTGCAAATCAGTGAGGTAATACTCACTGCTAGCCACTGAGGTAAATAGTTGTTTTAGTTTATACTAAGAAACAGTGAGATAACATGGCACAAAAAGAGAATTTTATCTTATTTATTTCAGCAATGATTACAAATTTTTTGGGCACAAATCTTGTGTGAGTAGCTCTGAGGTGAATGGCAAAGGATATTCAGAGTTTGAGTAGCCAATTAGAGCACACCTTCAACTCTATCCACTGTTTTAATATAAACAAATAACCTGTGTTTCTCCCTGCTCCAGAGATTTAAATAGGCTCTTACAACTCTGTCTCCTCTGCAGACTTAACCTACCTGTATATCTGTTAGTGGAAATATTGTCATTGTAATCAATGTATAATCTGTTGGTTTTCCTAAGACAATGCTCAAACTTCATTTACACTGTTCGTAATTGTGAAATGCACCATTTCATAGAATAATGCAAACCGAAGTGAGCCAGTGAGTACAGTGACATCTCCATCAGAACCAAGCTCTATTGAACCTGACTTTGCTCTGAAGTATGATGATGATCAGCGATCTCAAAGCTCTCATAGTAGCGGGTAAGGGAATGTCTTTTACTTCTGCCTTTTAATAGTCATTGCATTAGGCCATTTCCTAGTCAACAACTGCATTGCCAAGTGAAGGTTGGGTGCCTGAGACAACCAGGAGCTTCCACTATTGGCAGCTAGCTCTTAGATGGAGACTGCTCCTATGGTGGTGGACAAGTCCTGGCAACCCAGCCATGAGCCCCCATACAGGAAGGGGAAACAGGCACCTGTGACACTGAATGAACAGTAGAAAGAGGGAGGGAAGGGGTGGGGAAAACTACCTGGAGGATGAGCTGGCACTCCAAAAACCACTGAAAGTTCATGCTTAAAGCATATGCAAGGGGACTGATGCTCTTTGTTGTTAACTCATTGAATTACTGTAAACTGCATATAAAAAATAGTCACCTATACTATAGGCCAAGTGCCTAAACCTCTGGTGGGAAAATGACATTTATTTGCAAATGAGAGATTAAAAAAAATTAATATCAAAATGTTTTTACTTCCCTTAGATTTTGACATTGGGCTTTGGGAAGCTCAGAAATGGCCTCTTAAATTTATTTCTGTGAGGTCTTTTTTTTTTTTTTTTTAGTACAAGGTTCATACTAAAAATAATTCAAATGATCTGAAATAATAATTGGTCCAATTGAATTTATTACTGCACTAATCAACACATTGTAAAGGCAGGTGCTTCATTAAATTAAATGAAACTGGAACACAAGATTAACTACAAGAAGCCTATCAAGTAAACTGTGCTTTGTTTTTCTCTGATAGCACCAATCTAAATATTTTCTACTTCAAATATTTATTACAGGGAACCTGATATGATTATGATTGAATTGAATCGTGAAGATCCACAGGAACCCTTAGGATTTACAGTGACAGGATATAGAACAGCAGATAGCAGGTAAATTTATGTTGAATTAACTTGTATCGTTTTGTTTTGTATGTAGAGGGGATACCAATTGTCTTGGCTACGTTCACTCAGTTTTGTTCGGGTGCAATACTTTTAACATTTTGCTCTCACAGCACCCTTCCCACTAAAGAGCCCTTATGGATACCAACGAACCATCATGACAAAATCCTTGTTGGGTGTGTTGGGTTGGTTGCAGCTTCGAAAATAGACCTTTGGGGTATGTGTGGTCACATGTTCGATATCTCGCCCTGAGTCTGGATACGTAACAGCACCTAAACACCAGCATTATTTTCAACAATATTTGAATCCATTTCTCAATGGCAGGGAACTTGGGCTCATCGTTCGAGACATTTCACCCAGTGGGTGTGCAGCGAGAGATGGGAGATTAGAAGTAAGTTAATACTGATCAATTTGATCAAGTTTTTTTTTCCTTTTTTTTTGGATGTGTTGTCTTGGCCAAGCTTTCTTTTTAAATGGAAAAATTGCTGAAGAGAACTTATGTCTCCGCAGATAGCAGATCGAATTGTCGAGGTGAATGGTTTGAGCCTGTTGGACGTACCAAATAAAAGGTAAGTGAAACAAAAGATACTTCGTCTTGAAGCTGTGGGAAATTGATATGTAATTTATATACTGTAATTTTACGGGTCAACAAGGCCAAATGCAAGTTGTACGGTAAAATCAATTTTGCAGCGCAGTTCAAGGATGACATGGCATTGGAGGGTAGTTTCCAATTTCAAGTCGATCTCGAGTTTTTCCAGGGAAAGTGGGAAGGAGGCAAGAAGGGGGTCTTTAGAGAGTAAGGGCCTTATTAAAAACTTGAGGTTTAGAAGTGAAGAGAATGTTTATACACTGAAAGTAAAAGAAAGCTGGTTTGCAATTTTAACTTTGTTAGAGTAAGCTTTAAGTGTTCAGTAGACAACCGAAATTGTTTCCATTTTAGAGCGGAAGAACTTTTTGCGGGAGCAATAAAGGCATCAGTCGTAAACCTTGGAGTGTCTCGTACACATTCATTCGTCCCGGGACAGAAGAGTGACACACCACATGAAGATGAAGTCGTACACACCCAGCCCATGGAAGAAAATAACGAATCACAAGAACAAGATCAAACACAGAGAGGGATCCTTCCTCTTACACCTCAGTCAATGATCAGTTCGCCTTCGATTCCTGACAACAGCTTCAAGAAAGTGAATAAAAGGATCCTCGTTGAACTTATGAAAGGTAATTTTTTGGGTAACTTGGCGCAAAGGTTGGAAACTTTGCTGTCGAAAAGAGAGACCAACTGTAACTTTCTGTAACATGGTCGACTATTTTCAGAGTTGTACACGCACTCGCCTGCTACTGAAAAACGTGGGGTAACCATATTCGGGTCATTGTGCCCCCTTTTTTGGCAGGATGATGAAATTCCTGCAGTGCCTATCTTCAAACTAATGCATAAATAATAGCAATTTTTTCAGGGAAACGAATTAAAAATGCTGGAAGTACCTTGCGATAGACTGTCCCAAAGGAGAGTAGCAATGCAAATCAGTAGGTATACAAACTAAAGCCCTAAAATAATTTTTTTTTGGTCAGGCACTGATGGTCTTGGATTCAGCATCACTTCACGCGACAATCCGGCCGGAGGGAACACGCCAATATTCGTGAAGAGCATCCTTCCGAAGGGTGCCGCTATCGAGGACGGACAGTTGAGAGCAGGAGATCAAATAGTGGAGGTAACTGAATTCGTTTCGAAAACCCACACCGCCGTCATAAACAATCAATCAGGTGTACAGCTAAAACCAGTCGCGACTAGGCTCTTTCTTGCGCTGTAGGTCTCGGGAAAATTAGTTTTTTTTACTTTGATTGGCTTCTTATGAATTTTTACTTGGTTCTGGTTGGCTTTGGTTTCATGAATATTAATCGAAAGGCACAGGGAACAGGACACAAATCCGTTTCTACCTTTAAATATTTTTCATGTTGTATGTATCTTTTTACAGGTAAACGGACAGAAAATGTTCGGCAAAAGCCAAGCGGAGGCCGTGAACGTTTTACGAAGCACCAAGGGTCTGGTAAAGATTCTGGTTCAACGTGAGGAAACGGTCCAGTCACCCAGAGCTCCTGCGATAGAGGTGATTACACAGAAACACTCCAATGATAATTTACTTTTCACAAGTAAATTTTAATCAGTGTCAATAACGAATTGTTTCTTCATGTAAAATCCGCTTTTGTTTCACAATGGTTTTCTGGTCAGGGATATTTACTCTTTGGGTTTTCGCTCAGTTTTGCTGACAAAAACGCTCAAAGCGTTAAGCGGATAAGTTTTGAAACCGCTCTTTTTGCTCTTTTCCCCCGAAGGTAAATGAAGACAGTATGAGTCATTTTAGAGAGGAAGGTCTCCAAGTTCTTACGTTCAAAATTGCTTTGGACGTATCTGGCGCGGCAGGCCTAGGGGTGAGTGTTAAAGGCAAATCACGCGGTACAACTGCGGAAGGTCGAGACAGTCCTCAGGACAAGGGAATCTTTGTCAAGTCCATCATTCCTGGCGGTGCTGCAGCAAAAGATGGTCGTCTTTGCCCAAACGATCAACTTCTCCGTGTAAATGGTAAATCGCTAGTCGGGTTAACAAACCAGTCCGCTATGGATACGCTAAGAATCGCTATGCAGTCCACAAGACCTAATCAAGCCTTCATTGATGTGACAATCGCGCGAGAACAAGAAGAGGCTCCACCACCCCCTGGGGAGTTATTTCATAGTAAATCCCTAGAGAGGCTAAATGCGCCTGATCAAGAGAGGCCCATTGAGGCGAGCTCCGAAGAAAGACTCATCGGGGGATCACAATCACGCACTTCCGAGACAGATGGTGGTTCTCTCAAAAAGGAACGTAAGTGAAGCCCTCTATTGGTTGTATTGCCTCCTAGTTGCAGTTAAGTCTTCAAAGTTTAGAGTTGTAAAGATTTTAAGTGATAATTGCATATTTTACTTTTCGTCATCAAACTTAGGACTTCCAAGTAGTCAGGAGGACCAATTTAATGAATCAATGGTCAGCAGGAATCTGAGCCCGATTCGAGCGAGAAACGCAGTTCACCGAAATGACTCGTACTGTGTGGCTATCAACAAGAGCCAAACACCTGGTTCTCCATTTTATAGCCCCTTCAGGCAACGCCCAGTCCATCGCCCTAGTCCTTTAGCAATGGCAAATGATCGAGTGCCACCCCTTGCTACCAGTTCTCCGGCAAGAACGTCAACGCCGATGGATGGTCGATCTGAAAATGGCATCGAAAGTGGAGCAAATGTACTCACAGGAAGGCCCATCAGTACCATTGCCATACCAACACCGCCTCTCGAAAGCACCGACGAAAAACCTTCTAGTCCCTCACAGGCACCTGTTAAACCTCTTGCTCCTCAGCCCCCGCCGAGATGGGACTCAGAGGTAGATCCTTCTGCGAATAATAATTACAATTTACAAGCAAGGCTTAAGCTTAGGCTCAAAATGCCAGATGCTGAGAGACCTCAAGAGGAAGGCACCAATTCCAAACCCCCATCTCCGCCCTCGCAGTTTTCGAACCAGTCACCCTCTCAGGAATGCCCTCCTTCTTATGATCAAGCTGTGGCCCGCCTTGGTAGGTCCCCACACGCGTCAGTCAGCTCGGAGCATGCGACGCCGAGAGAACAGCGGAAATCGTTGACGGAAGAGAATGCGGAGAACTCCATCATTGCTCCTCCTAGTCCCTTCTCCACCGAGGAAAACCCGTTTCAAAGGGACGGCTTTGGGCGGACGTCAATGTCGGAAAAACGAGGCCGAGCAACCCTGGATGCAAGGCAATCAGAATTCTTTGTGAAACGAGAACAAGACAGGAATGAAGGTTGGTAGATGTCAATCATCTTTTCACCACTACTAATCATGAACAAGTACTTCCTTCCTGCAATATCAATACGTTATCCAGAAAACCGGTCACAAGAGTAGAGAAATAAATTAAGGAAGATTTATTGAAGGTTAAAATTAGATGCTAGTTGATGGTTTTCCGGGTCAATTGACCTTGTTTGGTACTAAATTTGGCCGAAAGTGGCTTTAAACTGATCAACTTAGCAGAGCTTGAGCGAGCATTAATTGAACGAGAGCTCGTAAATTTATTCTCACTTATGTTTATTTGATCGCTGTTTTCGTGTGGCTTTTGTTTCCTCGTTGATTTGAGGTTGATTTCTGTCGCCAGTTTTATTTTAACTCTTTGGTTGTTTCTGGTTTTATTTGTAGAGTATTCGTCTCCGTCAGAGGATGGTGAAATCGACGAGGAAAAACCTGGACTGACAGTTACACGCCAACCTCTCAGAAGGGCTGACTCAGATGATGAGCAGCTACGACATCAATTGGAGGAAGGTGAGGCGTTGTAGGTGCAGTATGATAAAAGAGTAAAACAACCGGAGCCTTTAAAGTAAGCTCGATATCCAGATCTAAAATTTTTTATTCATCTCTTATAACAAACGGAAGACCGTCCTCAATTTCAAATGGTTTCCATGGATTTTACGCCGTAAAACCCGTGAAAACCATTTAAAATTGTCTATAGTTGCCTTACTGGAAATCAATGGGTTCAAAAAGGGCTTTAACTATTCGTACGTTCTGATTGTTTTTCTATTTACAATCCTTTTTTATCTTCCCCATCAGTAGCCGTCCTTGTTCTTTCTTGACATTTCATTGTCTTAATGTGTTTTTATACCGTACGGCCTAACTGAAAGTTTTAGTCTCTTTCAAGTAGCAGGTGTTTTTCATGTCACAATAAATCTCGTTTGCAAGAAAGTTAATTAATTAATTGCTTGTCTCTCGCCTTTGGCAGAATCTAAAGAGGAAAAACGACCTTCTCCTTATGGTAGAATGACAAAAAGTCGCTCGACTGGACAATTGAAACTTGTGGGACTTACAAAAGCCAAGGAGAAAAAGTAAGCAGTCAAATTTAAGAAACTAAAACAGCATATTACGGCAGAATTAGTGTTTTGTCATAGTGCTTAGGAGCAGATCAAGGAAATTGAAGATTTTCTTTCTCTTTTGTTGCATGTAGTTTACAGCAAGAAGGAAATTATTACTGACAAGGGCTTCTTCTTCATTTCCAGGGCCAAAAGTAACGATAACTTGAGTTTCACAAGCGCAGTGGAAAATGCGAACCGATCTTATCCAGGTCAGCTGTGACATTGTTTTTACCATATTACTGCATTTAAATTTTCCGAAATGTGGATGTTCCTCAACAGAATAAATTCATGATACGGTTAGTTTATGGACTATTTTCTTACTGTTCTGAATGAACTGGTTTATTGCGTTACAGGTGACTTTCAGAATGGTCACGCAAGGTTTAGTCCTTCGGACGAGCAAGAAGTACCCATAACGATGAGGAGCAATGCTGATTTCACAGCAGTACAACAGAAGCTTGGTGCGAAAAAGCCCTTCTACAAAGGAATCAGTTCTGTGTTTAAGTGAGTGTTCATTCATTATTTTTGTTTCATGTAACTCCTTATGTAACTACAGAGCTAACACCTTCTATCACTCGTACTCTTTTCTTTGGAAGACCACGGAAACAAACGTACGAAGGAACAAATAAAAAATTACCAAAAAATAAACAAAGAAAACGCCTTAATCACAGGTTTAAAACCTCAGATTATGAGGAAGTAATTTAAACTTTGATTAACGATTCACTCACGGTTTGGTTTCAATGTGTGCAATAATCTTTCATCAACTCTTTTAGGATCGGAAAAAACAAGCGAGGTGACTACAATCTATCGGAATATGATGGTCCAGCGTTTAAACACACTTATAATAAAGAAGCACTCATTGACTTTCCCGCCGAGCAGCGATACAGACAACTTGTCAATCATTACGGTCAGGACAAATCGTCAGAACGCGCTAGCACGCTGCCGACTCGAGGACGAAAAAAACGGGAAGCGAGAGAAAAGGAGGCTGAACAAAGACGCCCTCCCCCCCCTCCTCCACCTCAGGTGATGAAAGTTGGAAGAGTTACAGTTACTGCGCCCACTAGAGTTTAACCCTTTAACTCCTAAGATCTGATTGTTAATTCTCCCCTCTAGCTGTTACACATTTCCTTGTGAATTGGTTACGAGAATTTGTAGTTCAATCAAGGTAATATCTTGTACCTGATGAGTTTAAGTATTCTCATAACCCGTTTGCTGAATAATGTATGAATATTGTAGGGAGAGTGTACATGTTTAATCACTTCAGGGAGTTAAAGGGTTAACAAGCCTTCAAGACCGTCAAACGCTGCGCGAACGTTGGAAAACAAAACTGAGTTATTTCTCTTTGTATGGCAACTTGAAATGATGATGCTGTCATATCCTTACTGAGTTTACAGTTGCATAGCGAAAATTTTCAAGAAATAAAAAATGTGAGAAATCTTTGATAGCTATTTTATACCAGGAGGTATATTAACCAAGAATTTATCGCATTCTATTGATAGATTTATTTCTAAAAAAAAAAAACTATTATTTTTGAAGAACCTGAAACACATATTCAAATATTTTGCCTGACGTTTTGTAAAATTACAAAAGCATATCTATACCTGTCTTGTAAATAGATCACCTCATAATGAGTAACTTTTTGTGATTCCGTTTATCCGAAATATTTAGCAACGTTTGTAAGTCGCGGTTTATAGCTAAAGTTGTTGGTAATCTGAGATCGAGATATATACCAGTATAAAAAGCCCGTTTTATAACTGTTTGTTGTCATGTTTTCTAAAATATTATATTTTTTAATTTAGTTATTAGTTTATCTTATCGATGGTTGATTCTGGTAAAATTCCTTCTTGCTGCAAAGAAAACTGTAACATTGTCAGTAAGAAATAACGGGGGGTGAAACTAACTGTGAGGAAACTGGGGCAAACCTAAGAACTCCTCTTCTCCTTCTCCAATGCCGATGGGTTTGTGCTGGGTGTTTCTTCCTACGCTCTGTGATTGGTCCACAAAACTCGCTCCTCCTTCTCGACCAATGTGATACAGACCTTAAACCAATCGTGACATAATTGCTCACGTTTCCCGCTCCCGAGGGAGTTTGCATTTATTTACTTGAGAAATTCCATTGGCTTCCTGCTTGTGAGCTTTTCCTATGTTTTGATTGACATTTGATGTTTCGTCCAGAATAATTTCAGCAGGGTCTGAGGGCATTTATTTTTTTACCTCTGTACTGCTGCTTTTCCTTTTATTTTTGATATCATTTCCCACCCTTGATCAATAAATTTGTTTTGTTTGCCCACGATTTTTTGAAAACGAAATTCAACTAGAACAGTGTTAAATAGAAAATTCTTATCATCCACTTTTATTGGAGATTTCATTCTCTAACTAAAAGGACTCTAAAGGATAGTTTACACGTGCGACTATTAATCATGAGTGCATGATTACAGCATTATTTTTCCAAAACAACAACAAGTGACTGTACGTAAACACTTCTTTACTAAAGAAGTGACATTTTCAAAGCAAAACAAACCCGGGAAGGCGGCATTCTACGTGCGAGCAGCTGAAATTCCCCCCTACACCCCGAAATAATTTGTAAATTAATTGTTTGCGTAAGAAAATTCAAAACCAAATAATATCACACATACATGTCTGTTTGCAGTCCCTCGCAGATACCACCTCTCCAGTCTCGGCTTTCATCTTCACAGCTTGTAACGTCCCTCGCAAATGAGAGCTTACTCACACTACACCTACGGCGAATCTCTTGAATCACATCTTAACCCTTTACACCCTAACATCAGTTTGGAAGTTCTCCATTCTCTTCTCTACACTTACAAGGAGAAGTTGCCTCGTAATCAAGACCTTCTTGGCCTTGCGATCATTACCTCAAATCTAATGACCTTAGGGGTGACACTATTGGGAGAAATTAGATGTTTATCACTCAGGGGTTAAAGGTTAAAGGGTTAAGGGTTTTTTGCATCAATCCAACACAACCGGAAAGTACAGTTTTCCCTCGCACATCTTCTCCGAATCCATTAGTTTTTCTCTGCAGTTTTCTTGGCTCGGTGCAATTTTGTATTTCGATCTTTTTTCCCTTCCTGCGAATGTCTCCACTTGACTCGTCTATTTTGGAACCAAACCTTTATCTGATGCTCCGTAAGCCCAAGATACAGCGATAAGTAGTACCTCTCCCGTTTATTCAAATAGTGTTGACGCTGGAAGCGGTCCTCCAACGTTTTTCGTTGGTGGTCGGAGAAAACCGGACGGGACCAGGATGGGGAATGCGTTTGCCTTGTCACACTGAGGGGAGTGGTGAAGGTAACATTTGGGCGGGTGTTTAAGAGGTCTGGAAAAATAACGAAAATGATCATTATCTGTTGAAGTTCCTTCCTAAAACCAATGTATTGAATAGCAATTCCATCGGAAGATTTAAAGGATCTTAATATCTACTTAAGTGTGCACATCCGGTGAATTAGTGATCACAAGACAGGCTTTTTGGCGTAACAAAACAGGAAAACCACGGCTTGCCCAGGTGCTAATCTGCTAAAATGGGGTGGGGTTACGACCTCACACTACTTACGCAAATATCTTTTATTCTCTCTCTCTTTCGTTTACAACTGGCGCGCGACCTCTGTGATCTTATTGCTAAACGAAAACTATTTCTGACTTGCCTGTACAATAATTGTTATTAGAAAAGTAGGCAATTTGTCTTTATGATCAGTTTATGATCGTTTGAGTGAAAAAATTAAACTTATTATCAACTGTCACTCTTAACAAATACTTACATGAACAAGGTATATTGATTTAAATTCAAAAGGAGATCTATTTTTTAAGCAAAGATTATTTCCATGGCCTCTTGAACGAAAGGTGAAAGATCACGAGTTTCAATAACCGATATCTCACGAAATTTAGGAATAATTTATGGTTCTTTCTGAATCATATGAAATTCATTTTTAGTCAGTGTAAATGAATAATGCTTAAAAACGTTTTGAGGAAAGAAATAAGGGGTTTTTAAGTTTTTTCATGATGATATAATTGTGTATCATTGGATCAGCATTCTAAGTAGAAGATTAACCGGAGGTTTAAACCGGTTCAAGACCCAGTGTGAGGTGAAGATGGCACCAGCAAAGTGTCGAAGGTCTTTCCAGAGTCACAGCAAGTTGCTAAATGTTTCGACCTCTAGATGCCCTCACAATCAATAAGACCACCATCGGTCTTTGGTTTTTGTTTTTCCCTTTTTTGCTTTCAGTTGAAGAAAAAGTGAGAAATGGTTGCAGATATTGAATGAGCCCGCGCGTCAATTTAACGGCGGTTTCTTGTCACGGCGGAATTTTGTACCAATTTAGTGTAAAATCAATTAAGCTTACTTTTCGTTCATGCATTTTTGCACTTATTTTATGAACCAAGAAAATATGTCCTCTTGTGCTGTAAAGTCGAGTAACCACGCCTTAGTCCTTCTTATGATATCGATATGTTTACTGTAGTAAGGGTCAAAATGAATAAACGAGAGGTGTTATCCTTCCACGATGACACTAGACTCTCCATACTGATTTACAAGGAAAAGAAAACAACTAGATGCAAAGTAAATTACTAGCTACATCATGGGAGTTACGGTTCAAAGCTACCTTTGTAGTAAGTTCCAAGAGGGGTCAATTTTCGTAATACTAGCTTTTAAGACCATAAGTTAAAAAAAAAAAAAAAGGCAAACGAAAGTAATCAAACCGCGATCTAAAACTGATTTAAATCATTTACTGATGTATCCAAACAAAGATAATGAGAGAACAATGCGTTAAAATGTTGGAACATCAAGTAAACTAGGCACTTAATACAAAAGTAGATTATTGGATTTTTTTCTTACATGAGGCTATGGAATTGGAAATAAAGAATGTTCCGTTGTTTACCAGCCATCAAAACGTTTTCTTACTTACACGGAACGAAGACGCAAAACGTTAAAAACTGCGCGCAGTTAACATAAAGAAGTGTTACGACGAGGTAGGTTTCCCAATGTTTGAAAATTTCTGCTATTTCCCTTTTTTCACACCTAAGCAAGAAAAAGACTGGAAAGTGAAAATGCCTGAGGAATGACCTTCAAGTTGCTGCAACGCAGCTATTTCCGAGAGTAACTTGAAACAGGATATGTCACATACTGGCGAAGCTCTCAGAAAAGATAGCATTACGTCTTGTACATATGGTACCTCTTGTACTCAAGTTGGAATCACTCCATCACTCTCCAAATTAACTTATTTTCCGGCTTTAAATAAGTAAAGGAAATAGTGGCCGGTAGTGTAACAGAGAAGTAACAGCTTGGTTGGTTTTAAACTGATCAGTATCGTGAGCGTGGCGGAAGCGAAAGCGACTCACTGTCCGAAGAAGAGAACTCTGTAGATCAAAAAGGACACACACGTGGCTGTCAAAGAGCATCGCGCAGATTTGCGCAAAACTCTAAGAATAGAAAAACTCACTGTCTATTATTTTTGACGGTGAAAAAAATATTTCGTGACTTCCTTTATTACGTTATAGGCTAGGCCGTTAAGTTCTAAGCTTTCCGCTGTGTAATGCGCCAAAAACCAAGATTTTCTTTTTGTTAGCCGCTTTTCGCCTTGAGCAGTAAGACATGTTGATTGGTGGCGCTTGACAATTTCCAGTTCATTTTGAGTTTGCATCGTGGGTGTCGAAGTCGGCGAGTCTGGTCTGTAAATTGTTATGAATGGTTTTATGGCAAATTAAATTGAAATACGTTAAGCTGTTAGCCACAATCCGCTTTGAATAATTACGATTTGCAATCTCCATTTCACTAAGGTTGGATTCGATATTCTATCCTGGTTCGAAGTTATACTATACACTCGATGGAGACAACTTTTATTTTGCTTTAGAACTCAATTTTACCTCTTAGTAGTTGCTTTAACAATTTTCAGGTAAGGATACCAAACTGTAGGGATTTCAAAATGACACAACGCTGAAAATCTGCCAGTAAACAAGTTAATTCGCTTTAAGTGCGCGCTTGCACCTTAGAAATTGATAGTAGTAAAGAAAAAAGGTCGCCCTTTGTTCTTTCTAAAGATAAACCATAGAGCTTTTACCTGATTTTGAAGAACCATACAGAATCGTCTCAATCCCAAACTTCAGTTTTTCTTGTTGTCTCTGATGCTGAGGTTTCCACGAGGCATTTAATTCGGTTGTTTCTCGCGCTTTATCTGTTTGCATTGGTGTTGCGAATGGCGCGTCCGCAAAGCTGTTAGCGCTCAAGTGTGGCAGAGTTGTTGTAAGTTTTAACTGAGTCACCAGGCTGTCAGTGATAGCACTCATTTGTGGAGGAACCTTTCCGTAGAAATCACATTGACAGTAAATCATCGACGAGTTCATAATTTTATGTCGTAAGGATTGTCCAGTTTGAGCTACTTAGGAAATCCTCAAGTCTCCTGTGACCATCCTTGGGACCTCCCACGTTATCACAGATCAGCACAGTCGATAAAAGTTTCCCGTCCGACACCCATTTCTGCCAATCACCTTATCTTGGACTCTGTGGTGTCTGTACGTATCTTCATTGTTTTCTGGAGGAGGAGGAGGAAGGGGGGGGGGGGGGGGGGGGGGGGGGGGGGGGGGGGGGGGGGGGGGGGGAAGGTATGTGTAAGGGGTACCACTCACGGTAAGGCCTAGGGACGGATGAAAACTGTTGTAACCTATGATCAGATTTGGTATTTTAAATCTTGGCCTTTTTTTCAAAGATATAGAAAACTTTATTTATTCATTTCAGACGAGAACAGTTAAAAAATCTTGAGCCTATGCGGTGTAGGGATGTGTTGCAAATTAGGTTGGTAACACTCGGAGGACGCTCCCTGTCTCCCCCCCCCCTTCCCACCCTGTCTTTGCTTCCTGGGTGTCGAGATTCCAACTTGCGAATTTTTTTTCCAGGTTTCGTGCAAAGGGAAAGATGATGCTTCGGTGTCTTTAGTGACCTTACGGCTTAACGCTAAATTTAGATTGTTGCATTCTTGTAAACAAAAATTACACTCGGAACGTTTGTCAACTAATAGAGCGCTGTACGCTGTGAATAACTGACGTTCTAGCGACAAGTTTAGGTCAGATGAATGAATTATAAAATGAATAAAGCATCGCTTTAGCCGAAAACAAATGCGAAAATTTTAACGTGGTAGTCTTATATTTTCCGGATATCATGCACTGTAAAAAAAATTTGTCGCCTGTTATTTATCTTAACTTGAAAGTGTTTTCCTTTTAGGACGACGACATTTTACTGTGTGGTTCCAATTTGAGATAAACGAGACGATAAGAGACACCCCGGGGCCCATGAAACTTCATCATGGATGTCTGCCTACTTTCCATTGATTTCAATAAAAGTATGCCACATTTTTCCGGTCGTAATGGTTATTTTGAGCTTAAAAAAAAACGATATAAAAACACAAGTTTGTTTACTCAGGTCATTGCGGTAGATGAAATAATTACAGTGCAACTGATCTCAAAATTGAAAACAAATGCTTCTTGAAATGTAAAAAATGTAGATCAGTTTATGATGATTTTTCCTTAATCAAAAAAATTCAAAGCGTCTAACAGGATAAATTTCATTATAATTTTCGTACTAAAAGTTACAATTTGTTAACTGATAATCACCCTTGGAACGAAGTTGGTTCAAAACGTAGCTACAGTCTCTTACTATTCTTTCCGATGGGGTTTTAGAGGTTCACCAAAAAAAAATTGTATTTTGTAGAGAAATTATTCAAGTTGTTGACATATCTTTTACTCTTATGATTGTTTAAGGCCACTGATTGTTCATTGTTTTCAATCCGGATGCTCCACTATCTAATGGAGCTCTACGTCAAAATATTATCCGGAGACTTCCATTCGACCTGATGTGTTACATTGAAATGCAGGGGG